GGTGCCGTTAGCAGACTTGTAGATGGAGTTAGGATGAAATTTGGCTACACAGTCATGAGTGTACAGGAGGTACAGTCAAGGGCTGAGTACGCAGCCTTATGGGGTGCCAATGATGCAGACTGTCTTGGAGGTGGTGTTGTTGGTTATTCTCACTGGTTACAGTCTGTGGGTCAGAAAGTTGAGTGCCCAGTTGCAGAGAGTGGAGCACAGACCTCGGTCTCAGAGTTCGGAGATTAGAATTATAATGGTGAATGCATAGATGTAGTCAGTAATTAGAAGCCTGATGTAGGTATCCATGTTATCCAGATGTTCTGGGGATGAGTGTAGGGCCATGAAGATGGTGTCTGCCATAGACCTGTTGTGACGGTACGCAAATTGCAAGCGATCAAGGCAAGTTAGGAGGGTAGAGTTGATAGGAGCCATGACTAACTCCTCAAAGCACTTCATAATTATGAGAGGTCAGAGCCACAGGGCGTTGTGTCATTGAGGCATGCTGCATGAGTTTTCTTTGGTACCAGGATGATGGTGATCTTCTTGAAGCAGGTGGGGACTTAGATCGTAGTAAGGAGAAGTTAAAGATGTCTGTGAATACTCCTGCCAGCTGATACACGCAGGATCTGACAGCACGGCTGGGGACTCCCATCCTGGCCAGACGCCAGTTGCTTCCATGTTCTACTTTCATACTCATTCATGTTAAACTTCATTTGCCAATATTTGCCCATTCTCTAGGTTTAATAACATTCTCATATAAAGTATTGCAGTCCTCCTCAGGACTGACTACTTTCCACACTTCCAAGCCTAAACTTAGCAAGACCTGCAAAACTAGAAATGTTGTTGTTGATTACGAAGTCCAAGCCACGAACATAAATTGTGAACAGCAGTGGCCTCAACACTGTACAATGTGAAACAGGCTTCCCACCTGCTGCCACTTTAAATAGGGACTTGGCATTTCCATCCTCTATTTTTTGTCTTGAAGTCAATTAACAATCTATGCTCTCTCCTAAATCCACATTCCCTGGCCTTGCTTATTAATCTGTCATGGGACTCCTCACTGAAGGCCTTTTGAAAATCCAGACACGTTACATCAACTACATTGACACTGAATGTTCTTTGTTACTTCCTGAGAAAAGTGAATAAGGTTGATCAAAAAGAACTTACCCTTTGAAAACTGTACTGACTATTCATTATAATATATATTTTTCTTGACATTCTTTAATACACTATTAATTGCAATTCTATTATTCTTGCTTCCACTTATTTTAAGGTGACTGGGCTGCAATTTCCTGGGTATGTTCTGTTCCATTTCTTAAATATAAGAATTATGTTAGCAATCAACCAGTACTTAGATACCATATCTTTTCCTAATGAAAAATTAAATAGTTCTAGTAACATGTCTGCTATCGCTTTCCTAGTTTCTTAAAATAATTGAATGCAGTCCATCTGGTCCTGGGGTTTTCACCTCTTTTGAGTTTGATTAGTTTATTTAATAATTGTGCACCAGAGTTTTGTTGTCCAAGCAGATTCATTTTGATTCAGATACATACACGAGCTGAATGTCACTGAACAGAAAAGAGTACCAGCTCTTCTAATTTATTTATTGAGCTATGGAATGAATATAACTGAAGTCAATGTGAGTTAAAAGGAAAGCCTTCCATTCAGTGGAATTGTAGCTAATGCAGAGTCAGATGTGGTTATTACAGGGCATCAACAATAGCCATTGGACAACACTTCTAGAGTTCCTCAGAAATGCATCCTTAGTCCAACCAACTTCAGCTGCTTCATTAATTAACTTCCCTCCACCATGGGGTCAACAATTAGACCATATGTACATATTCCAGTGTTCAGCTCTATTCATGACTGCTTCAATAATGAAGGAACACAACTGAATCACAATCTGCTTGGGCTGAAAAGTAGCAGGTGATATACCAAATATGTGCTGAGTAATCATCACCTTAAAAAGAGAAAGGTCTATCATCTCTCTGGGAGCTTTAGGTACTGTAAGTACGCAAATTCCACCATCAAAATCTTGGCAGTCACTACTGACCAAGAGTTGAATCAGATCCAACCACGTCAACGCCACATTTCGGTAAAAGCTGGCTACTCTGTGAAAAATGGCTCGCTTCCTAATCACTCCATGTTTATCCACTATTGACAAATCTGAAGGAGTAGTCACTACAAGCCTGAAGAGGTACAGCTGCAACTCTCCAGTTCAAACAATCCAGGACATAGCAATAGTCCAGTGACAGAAAGTCGATGAGGTGAACATATATAGCCTTCACCGTTAGTACACGATGTGACAGAATTTACAACCTGCAGCATGCAATGCTGTAGCTCATTAGTTCAGTAGCAGTTCACGCTGCGATTGCTAGGTCTAGGTCAAGGTCAAGAGCAACAATGCTGTCAGGTCACCATTACTTCCCAGTTTACTTCCAAGTCACAGCACATCAAGACCTACAATATTTCAAAATGTCCCTCAGTGAAGGAAATCTGCCATCCTCACCTGATCTGGTCTACATGCGACTTCAGATACACACAAATGTTGTTGACTCTTAACCACCCTCTGAAATGGACTAGTAAACCACTCAGTTGTATCAATCACTACAACGTTTCAACAAAGAAATGAAACCAGACTGACCAAATGTCAGACTTAGGCGCTGGAAAATACAACAGCAGAAACAGCCCTGCCAACCTTGCGAAGTCCTCCTAATAAAGATATTGGGGGGGTAGTGCCAAAATTGAGAGAGCTGTCTCACAGATTAGTCAAGCAACAGCCTGACATAGTTATCCTCACAGACAATGCCCCAGGCAGTACCATCACCATCCCTGGATATGTCTTGACTCACCCACAGGACAGATCCAGCTGACGTGGTGGAGGCACAGTGCTATACAGTCAGGAGTGAATTGCCCTAGGAGTCCTAAAACATTGACTCCAGTCACCAAAACGTCTCATGGTTTCAGGTCAAACATGGACAAGGAAAGCTTCTGCTGATTAACATATACCATCTTCCCTCAGTTGAAGAATCAATACCTCTCCATATTGAATAACACTTGGAGGAAGCACTGAGTGTGCCAAGGGTGCAAAGTGTACATTAGGTGGGGGATTTTGATGTCAACCACCAAGAGTGGCCCAGCAACAACACTACAGATTGAGCCCAGAAGAGGGAAAAACATACTTGACATCAACCTTACCAATCTGCTGGCTGCAGATGCTCCATGACAATATTGGTAAGAGCGACCATCACACAGCCCTCGTGGAGACCAAGTCCTACCTTCATACTGAGAGTGACCTCCATTGTGTTGTGTGGCACTAGTACTGTACTAAATGGGACAGACTTCAAACAGATCTAGCAACTCAAGACTAGACATCCATGAGGTGCTCTGGGCCATTAACAACAGCAAATTATACTTCAGCACAATCTATAACCTCATGGCCCAGTATATCCCTCACTCAACCAATGAGGTTGTTGACTCGCTTGCCAAACTGGCTTGTTTTCATTGATGAATGAAAACAAGCCAGCTTGGCGAGCAAGTCAACAACATCACCCACAACCAGAGCTACAAATCTTTGCTAAAACCTTAAACTCATTCAACCAAGTTATGGGATCAACCCCGATTCAATGCAGAATGGAGGTGGGCATGCCAGGAGCTGTACCAGGCATACCTCAAAATAAGATGTCAACCTGGTGAAGCTACCAAACAAGACTACTTACATGTAAAACAGCATAAGCAGCAAGTGAGAGCCAGAGCTAAGCAATCCCACAACCAAAGGGTGAGATCTAAGCTTCACAAATATCCTTATCTTCAATGATGGAGAGTCTAGCACATTAATGCAAAAGCAATTGCAACAATCTTCAGCCAGAAATGCTGTGTGGATAATCCATCTCAGCCTCCTCCAGAGGTCCGAAGCATCACAGATGCCAGTCTTCAGCCAATTCCATTCATTCCACAAGAAACAGTTGGAAACACTGGATACTGCAAAGGCTACGGGCCCTGACAACATTCCGGCAATAGTACTGAAGACTTGTGCTCCAGAACCTGCCTCATTCCAAGCTAAGCTCTTCCAATACAGGTACAACACTGGCATCGACCAACAATGTGGAAAATTGCCCAGATATGTCCTGTACTCAAAGCGGGACAAATTTAACCTGGCCAATTACCATACCATCAGTAAAGTGATGGAAGATGCCATCAATAGTGCTATCAAGCAGTACCTGCTCAGCAATAACCTGCTTACTGATGTCCATTTTGGGTTCCGCCAGGGCCACTCAGCTCCTGATCTCATTACAGCCTTGGTTCAAGCATGGACAAAAAAGCCGAATTTCCAAAGAAAGAGTGACAGCCTTGACACTAAGGCTCATTTGGCATCAAGGAGCCCTAGCAAAATTGGAATCAATGGAAAACTCTTCTCTGATTGCAGTCATACCTGGCACACAGGAATATGGTCGTGGTTGTCAGCTCCAAGGACATTTCTGCAGGAGTTCCTCAGGGTAGTGTCTGATGCCCAACCATCTTCAACTGCTTCATTACAACCTCCCATTCATCATAAGGTCAGACATGGGGATGTTTGTCAATGATTGCATAATGTTCAGCACTATTCAGATACTGAAGCAGTCCATGTTCAAATGCAACAAGACAATATCCAAGCTTGGGCTGACAAGCGGCAAGTAACAAATGCCTGGCAATGACCATCTAACCACTGCTCTGTGACATTCAATGCATTATCATCAGTGACATCGCTGTTATCAATTGTAGCCTGGGGGCTGGACTCACCATATAAACGCAGTGGCTACACACAGCAGGTCAGAAACTAAAGAATACTGCAGCAAGTAACACGCCTCCTGGTTATCTAAAGCCTGTCCACCATCTACAAGGCACAAGTCAGGAGTGTGATGGAATGTACCCTACATGCCTGAATGAGTGCAGTTCTAACAACATTCAAGCAGCTTGACACGATCCAGGACAAAGCAGCTCACTTGATTGGCACTTCATCGACAAACATCCACCTCCTCCACCACCAATGCACATTTGCAACATTGTGTACTACCTACAAGATACACTTCAAAAATCTGCCCAAGATCCTGAGTCAACACCTTTCAAACTCACAACCACTACCACCTAGAAGGACAAGGGCAGTAGTTACATGGGAACACCACCACCAAGTTTGCCTCCAAGCCACTCATCATCCTAACTTGGAAGTATGTCATTGTTTTTTCACTATCACTTGGTCAAAATCACAGAATTCCCTTCTTAAATGACATTGTAGGTCTGATTACAGCACATGGACTGCAGCGGTTCAAGAAGGCAGCTCACCACCACGTTCTCAAAGGGCTGCTAGAGACGGGCAATAAAATGGTGGCCCAACTTGTAACGCCCACATCCCACAAGCAAACTAAAACAAAAGTTCACCATGACCTTCTCAAAACAATTAAACTGCATCCAAGTCAACGATGCCACATCCAGAGAACAAGTGAAACTTATTTTTTGAAACCTGTGATAAACTACTTGAGCTATTTGATTGGTACAAAGAACATATATATTTAATTAAAAAGAATACTAATTAAAAGTTAAAACCATGTTCATCGGTTAATTTTCAATTAAGGAGGAGTTCCTACTTTCACTGTTGCTTCATATTTCAACTTTTTTGGCTGAATCTTGGATCAAGGCTTAAACTCCAATCATGGCATTGGTTCGGACTGACAGCTGTTATACTGTGCGTGTGAAATTACCATTGTAGTCTACATATTTTGCAATCACATTCTTTTCAAATTGATCAGAACTGAAATGCACAGCATGTACAGTTCACATCAACCAAAAGATAAGCAACACTGATGTCTACAGTTACTGCATATGCCCTAAATATCCAAGTATACAAATATACAAGGATGAAGAGAAATGCAGAGCTTCAGTATACTGCCAGTTGCAAGTTTAGTGACATTTTAGTGGTGAGTAGCTCTGAGAATAATAAATTTCTGGCAACTTAACTTGGCAACATATGACTGCAGCACTAGCATTGTAATAAGAGCTTCAAATCAAAACATGGACCTGATTAAAGAATGTAATTGTACCTTTTAGTAATTCTGATTGACCAATATTAATCACAAGAAGGAAAGATTGCAACTCATTCAGGAATGAATGAATTTAATTAAAAAGCATACTAATTACAAGTTAAAACAATGTTCATAAGTTTATTTTGAATTAAGTTGAAATTCCTGCTTTCACTGTTGTTTCACAGTTCAATATTTCTGGCTGACACTTGGAACAAGGCTGAGACTCCCTATCCTTTTTGATCTAATTCGTGATGTAAAATAGGGCACAATACCAATGCTATCACTGATGATAACATTATACGGCTTACGAAATATTTAGATATATTTTTGAACATTTTTACGAAATGAACAAAATTGTAAGCTAGGGAACAGCAAGAAAAATATATACAATGTAACACTGAAAAAGGTTGTAACCTTCTGTTGAATTGTTCTAAAATACTCTTATGGTTGATCAGTTGTAGAACACTTACTTTTCTCACACTGTCTGGCGGAATATCCTTCACAACATGTGTGCTAGTTGAGTAATTCTGTTGTCCAACACTGAAGACATCATCTTGACTTGGGTCTCCGATACTGTTACCTTGTGATGGGTACTATTTTGAAAATGTGAAAACATAAAACCAGTTAATCCTAAAGAACTGATTAAAATGACTGGAGGTTTTTTTTTAATTACTTCAAAATTTTATTCAAAGAAAATGCTTACAGCTTATGGTTGATAAAATCAAAGTTTGCTCCTATTGTAACCAGTGTGTCAATTGAAAAGGTTAAAAAAAATGAACACGCACAAACACACCCTCACCAATAGAATAGAAACCTTTTGGTTAGTGAGTTGAATAATTTTCTGTGTATAAATCAAGACTTCAGGAGCATAATTTAATTACTTTGACAAAAACGAAACCAGCAACATAAACATTGGCAGAATAAGTGGTCCATTTAAAATACATATATTTGTCAAAATAATCTTGAACTGAATTGACGCAAAGTGCATTGACAAAGAGCCAAGAATGGGACAAGACCATGTGCAGGCAGACAGGATTAGTTTAGAATGATTGGCAAAAACTTTGTGGGCCGAAGGGCCTATTCCTATACTGTTATGTTCGATATATGGAAAAGTTTACAAATTGTATGTTTTCAATACATAAAGATATTCCATATTTATGAATAAAATGTGAAAAAGCCTGCAGCTTTGGCCATAAAAAAAGACAATTCAAAAGTCTTTGTTAATCAAATGATCTCAGAAAACAATGAACACTGAAGCATCCACATGCTAAGATCAAGAAATTCAAAGGAACTCGAACTATCACACAGTAATACTTTGCTTAATATGAGTCATTTGAAAATATTTTTGTTACAAGGTTGACAACGTAGAAGGTAGGATATATCCTTTTAAATGTCACAACGTTCACTAGTACATTACGCCTGACAATCTCTGTGATCACATAACCACCAGTGTCTCCCAAACCACTTGCCACTTCATTTCCACCTTGCTCAGTGTTTCTACATTCCAGGTAACAGATTCACAAGGACCCATTCATCTGAAGGTACTGGGCCATGCGGGAAGACAGAAACTCGCTAGGATTCGATAGGGTTGGGGTGGAGTGGGGAAGAGACAGGTTTATTGGGGCCCAGGGGTATGTTGGTGGTGGGTGGGCAAGGGCATTGAGACCACCCATTGGGTCCCAGAGTCAAGAATTCCACTGGAGCCCTGGGGTAGGGAGATTTGCTGGGTCCCCAGTTATGCATCAGTTCTTGTGGGAAAATCTAAATTGCCTAAATGTGTTTACTTCAAAGTGGCACCTGTAAAGAACAAAAGTGAGATGTTAAGGAAGATTTCTGTAGTTGTCTGTAATTGTCTTTTGTACCTACAGGTTGCTTTATGATTCTTAAGTAAGCTCTACCCTTTGGAAATATGCTCCTGTGGCATCCATGTGAAAGGCACACTCTATTAATATGAAATGACCTCCAAAAAAATCAGAACTAAGTGGCTGTCAAGTCATTGCAAAATACTGGAAAAATTATTTGCTAATATTAGGGATGCAAATTTGCACAATGTCACAAGCCACATCTATATTTAACAAGGCACTTTTAACAGCTAAGTTTAGTTCTAAAACTCTCTCAGGGGTCGAAGCTTTTTGGACTCGAGCACTGAACAAAATCTCTCAGTTATTTTTACAGCCACAAAGCTACAATGATTGTAGGAAAACACTAAATTATACATAAAGATAGTTTGGCAGCAGAGAACATCCGTTGGTTTGGATTTTGAGATTGATTATTTCATATTTAAATTTGAGCTCCTTAAAAAAATTAGAATCCATGCTTTTTCAGACATCTTTATGAAGTAAATAACTGTACAGTAAAATATAACATTTTAGTTTAATGGCTAAATAGCCATTCAAAAGAAAGCTGAAATTTAAAAATGTGAATACGGTGGATATTACTGAAAGGAAAATAGATCTGTTGTCTATTTCAGAGTAGACAGAGTTCTTCTTATAATAAAATTCAGTTTTGGCCATTGGGAAAGATCAGGTTTGATCACTGCTCACTTGGATAAACTGTTTCAGAACAGCAGCAATGATCCTACTACAGGTCTCAGTTCTGGTTGAAGATGGGGGACATCAATCAAGACTTTCCATTCACAATTGTTAGTCAATGATTCCTGCTGGAAAATATATGCATGTCGAAATCAAGTGAGTTCGTCCCTTGAAGGATGGTCAGCCCAGCCACTTTTTTCACACTCAAATATGAAGAACAGCCATGAGTGAGACAGGTAAATCATATGTTCATAAGAGAGGCAGAGGAAGTGCAATCATATTGCAGCTGGTGGAGAAACACTTAATCAAAAATATCACAATTTTTCCATAACATGCAATTAATATTTATCATTTTGAAATCAAAGTTATCTGTGTATTGTGTTAAGATTTGCAAAAGCATAAAGTTGCAAATTTAAACGATCAGATAAAGCATTTTCACAGCTAAGCAGAGAGAGGTGGGAAAAGTTTAGTTCAGTGTCCTGAAACTAACATTGAATTAAAAAAAAGTTCTCATAGCTAGGATTGCTCAAGTACTCACTACAACACTCATTCGTGATAACTAGCCCATTGTTGGTACTCACACGGAACATGTGCACTCCAGAATTCCTTCTGTCTGCAACACTCAAGGCAACGTTGCCCTGGCTGTCGTGCAGTTCCCTACAGCTTCCAGAGTGCATGCTGCTAAAAGCAGCATAATTGAAATTAAACGATCTAGACAGCATGCTCTGAATAAAGAGGAACAAGAAAATTCCACAGCTTTAACACAGAGATTAGTGCAGCATGCAGCAACAGGATAAATTGCAAGAGACAATCTTCCCCAAAAGGCTCAACAAGATGCAAACAGAAATAGCATGCAAAACACAAAACATGTATTCTGACCAAACGACTCTTGTTAAGGTTAATCTGAATGTGCACTCGAGTTCTTAGTAAAGCTTTTACATACATCCGGCCAATAAGCAAGCAAAGGTAACTTAACTTTGGACTAAAAAAAAGTTAGTTTTTCTACCAGTATAATACTTTTGATTTACAATATTCTTCTCATGTAAACTAGTCAAAAAAAGGTAAAAGTGCGACTGGCTGGTTGTACAACAGTAGGATAAAAGCAAAGTCACCATAGGGATGACTGGTGGTCGTTTAACCTGAAGGTCACCATGCCTCAGGTAGGGGGAGATGTTGAGAAGGACAGTCCTTTATGGCAACCTCAGCCAGAGAGGGAATTGAACCTACACTGTTAACTTCTCTCTACATTGTATTCAGCTGTTTGGCAAAAATTACTTTCTAACCTTGAGGTTTATATAAAGGAAAACTAAAAGTTTAGGTGGAACAACCTAGGGCCACACACTAGATTTATTTCCATCAAGAGATAAAGCAATACAAGCCAAAAATAATTGCAGTGAAAGGAGAGGGACATGTCAATAAAAACTGAAGGTCTAGTTAGATGCCATTCGATTTTATTCACATCAGCTGCAGATGTTGAGGGTGAGCAATCTAACATGCAGAGGGTGTCAAAGCTCCTCACAGCCAAGAGGTTAATGTTTCTAAATGTTAACTCTAAGTGCATTTACTGCAAACTAACATATTTACATCCAGTTACAGGAATGAACTCTAAAATCATGCAATTATGACATTTAATTAGAGATTTTACCTTGATCATATCTTTTGTATTTAAAGGAAAAGCAAGATGATTTTCTAACTTTCTTTTTGTATCTATAGCATCGATCCCCCAAACACTTGAACACAAATGTTATTTCCCAGAAGAGTAAGGTTAAGAACTATTAAGAGTTCATGCAGTTAACAAGACGGTTTTGTTCATGCAATGTTTTGGAATAAGGATTCCTGGTAAAAGGATTGTTTCTTGAAATTGCAGTATACCTTTCTCTAGGCTATGTCTTAACTTTTGTTCTTTTTAAAAAAAATATCAAAACTAAATGTATGATACAGCTATTTCAATAAATGAATGCATTTTCTCTAACATTGTTAAGTAGAAATATTCATGCCAACAAAATGTGTTACTAAAAATGGCTATGGAAATAATTGCAATATCAATCAAACTTCTGAAAAGGATGCACACAGATATTACACATCTGCTTCTTCCCTAAATTTCCCTATCCCTCTGTGTCTAGTGCTGTGAATATAGTGTACATATGCAAAGGAATGGAAAGGAATAGGGTTACAAGAAAATGAAATTATCTTTTGAATTCAGCATTACTGCGTAATGAAGAGAACATAGTAGTTCAGAAAGTTTTAAAAAAAAAGCCACACATTTGTTCTTCAAGAGTCACGATTAATGAGATGTTCAGTTAAAATTCTGGAAACAAAGTAGTGATTTTCTTTTGGAACTAAGGTGGAAATGGAGCTCTCCAGTTTATCTTATGTCCCATAGTTAATATACCTTTATGAGACATAGTATGTCAATGTACCATTAAAGGTAAAAGCTTAGTGAACTAATAGATTAACAGTTTCTATCTACAAATGCTGCCAGACCTGCTGAATTCTTTCAACATATACCACTTTTAAAAAATTTCAGATTGCCAGCACTTGTACTTTGATCTGTGTTACAACAATACCTTAAAAATTATTGTTAATCAATCTATTCGGACATGTTATGACACACCTCTGGGGCATGTGGGATGTGACCCTAACCTTTTGGGCCCAGAGGTAGGGACGCTACACTTTGTCACAATAGTACCATGCATAGGCAGGCCAGACCTGATAATAAATGGCTAAATTGCTTTTATTTTTAAACACACATAAATGTCCATCCTGTGGAGACACACACAAAGCAGACAGGAGCAGCAGTAATCCATTCAACCCCTTCAGCCCGTTCCACCATTCAATATGATCACAGCTGATTATTAAGCTCAATACCCTCATCCTGCCTTCCCCGCTATCCCTTGATCCCTTTAGCCACAAGAGCTATATCTTCTTGAAAGCACAATTTTTTAGCTTCAACCACTTTGCATGGTAGTCAGTTCCACAGACTCACCACTCTCTGGGTGAAGTAATTTCTCATCTCAGTCCAAAATGGTTTATCCCTTAAACTATAAACCCTGGTTCTGGACTCCCCCAACATCAGGAACATCCTTCCAGCGTCTATCCTGTCTAGTCAGTTTTAGATTTTGAGGTTTCTATGAGATCACCTATCATTCTTCTAATCTCCAGTGAATACGATCCTTACCGACTCAATCTTTCCTCATATGTCAGTCCAATCAATTTGGTAAACCTGCGTTGCACTCCCTCTATAGCAAGAGCATCTTTCCTCAGATAAAGGGACTAAAAGTGCACACAATATTCCGAATGCGGCCTCACCAATGCTCTGTATAATTGCAGCAGGACATCCTTGTTCCTGTACTGAATTCTTGCTTTGGAGTGGACAAAAGAGAATGAAAATTGAGAATGTGTAATGGTTTGAATGGAGAATAGGGCATCAAAAGGTTGAAGTTAGTGCAGGATTTAGCAAATCAGTAACCACAGAAACATTGTGGTGAATAGAAGGCCGAATGTCTGATAGTTGGTATGTTGAAAATGTAGCTCCAAGGGAAACAGGAAGATTCTTTTCCAGGATGGGTTTTGAAGGATTGATCGTTTGTTTTGGGGGGGGGGGGGGGGGAGGTGGAGAGGATGTGGCTATAAAGTGATGGAAGGATATGTCCATTGATAGCACTGTGACTGACACAAAAGAAGTAATGAGGTCAGATAAGTTGGCAAGATCAAGGGGTTAGCCATGAATATGTGTAACGGAATTTACATAGAGAGTGGGATTAATGGAGCATAAGACAGCAGTAAACTCAGAAGTGCAGACAATAAAATGAGCTGGGATATGGATTGACATTACTGAGGATGAGAACTTGATCAGTGAAAAGGGAAACAGTGGACATCACCGAGTGAGAAAGCTGACATGGTACCTGGGTGAGCAACGCAAAATTAAGATTTTAAATAATAGGTGCGAAGTAGAAAAAAGAAAATTTGAGAAGTTGGGAACAAGCAAGGTGATTTGGTAATGACTGCACTACACCTCTAAGTGGGGCAAGTGGTAGAAGATTTAGCCAAATAGTAGAAGTTTCACTTAGGGCAAAGGCATTATCACTCATCAGCAAGGTTTCTGTTAAGGCCACTGTGTCAATGAAATCATCTACAATGAGTTCATGGATGATTCACACAAGTAAACAGACACACACTGACATGTGATTGTGCTGTAGACTGTAGACAATCTTGACAAAATATACTGGCAAATCAGTAACTTTAACATTGATATTTACTCACATAATTGCCTCAAAAAGGTAGCTTTGAAAATACTACCCGAGAAAGCAGCTCATCTCTTTTAACAGGAATACTGCAATTTTAGGAATGTTTTTGAGAATTTTCCAAACTTCCAATTTATGATCATTTACAAACTCTGCATCAAATCTATATTCAATAAACAACTAGCAAAAGATTGCACCACATATCAGATATTAGAATAGGTGGAAAGGTGAAAATGAGAATCTTTAAGTTATTACAGTGCACAGAACTCAGAATTATATCCACGTAATGGCCTGTAAATGTTCCAGTATCACAAACATGCCACATAATGATACTTATAATAGCCTGTTCAAATTATTTTCATCCAACATGTAGAAGTTTGACTGCAGCAATTAAAAAGAAAGAGTGCGATACCTTTTCTAACTTTTTTGCTTCAATGTGACGTAACACTTGCTCTCTCCAATCAGGCGGCACCTTGTTGGTACCCTGTGCATCAAGAAGCGAATGCTCAGATTTCACCCTCACATTGGGTCTTTTAGTTGGACTAGTCCGTGAGTAATTGAAATCGCTGACGGACATTGTTCTCTCTGGAACATCAGTTACATGTGGCCGTGCACTATGAGGCCGAGATGCAGTTGGACCATCAACGCTATAAGTCCTTGCAGACAGAGGTCTTTGTGAGCCCTGAACTATCTGAGGGCCTCTTCCAAGCGTATGTAAATCCCTGTAAGTCACGTAATCTGCTTCAGGTACTGGGACCCGCCTGCAGTGATGGGTTTCAGGAAGAGTGACAGAGGAAGTGGATGAAACACTACTCTGTCTCTGCAAGGTGGACCTCTGACCGGCCTGAATCAATCTCTCGCTTGGTGGGCATCCCCACATTTCCACTTGTCGAGCTCCAATTCTTGGCTGCATATTGTAGGACATGTTGGACTGGGCATTATTGCGATTGGAGAAGTTCATGTTTGCAGAATGCTTTACATAATTGGCATTGTCAAGTGCCTCAGACCGCTGATGGTGATGAGATCCTATATTACCTTGCTCCATTTGAAATGCTGGTCTCTGTGGCCACATGTTCTCTTTGGTTATTCCACTGCTGCTATATTGGACATTGTACTGAGGTACTGGAGGCATCTGTGCAACAGCTATAGGCCCTCTCTTTAAACTGATGCCTTGAGGATTGAAGTTTTGATCAAATGTATACACTGCTTTTTTGCAAGATAAAAGATCTGATGAAGAAGAAGAATTTCCAGTAAACGGTTGCAATGACTGGTCACTTAGAAGACTGGCCGATTTACTGCGGATTATATTTTGTCCCTGTCCAGCTACAGGGGGTGTCCTTACCATTAAACCTTGCTCATGTGGTCCATTGTCATTGATATCATAAAGTTTTAAACCCCCTGTGTCGATGTGTGTTATACTGTGAGATTTGACGACTGGTCCTTGAGGATACTCCCTCTGTGGAGATAGCTCTTCAGCACTCCCTGAGATAGCAGCATCTGAAAACAGAGGTGAATTTTTTTGCTCTGCTTCAGTGTGGAATTCAGGTTGTCTAATTTCCTCTGGGCATCCATTTATTTGATTTTGAGGCAAAACGTTAAGTACTTCATTTTCATTCTTTAAATGCTCTGCTATTTCTTTTGTGTTACCTTTCATAGTATTTCCTGACGACTGTTCACAGGTGCTCATACATCCATCAACAGTGCTTTTACATTTAGTCACTTCGTCTAATCTCTGAACCACATCATCTGCAGTTATTTCATTCTTATTCACACCAATTTTGAGTAATTTCTGGTATTGCTGTGTGTTACTATTCAAATCCATTTCTCTCTGGAGGAGAGCTAGTTTTTCCTCAACATTGAATTCAAATTCCGACAATTTAATGACTTCTTTGTTCTCCGCCGGAGAATCAATGGTCTCGTGGGTTTTCACAATATTTTGAAATTGTGTACTGGATTTTGTTCCATTTTGTAATAGTGGAGATGTTTCATGTAATCCACCTCGATTTTTTCTGCAAACAACATTAAAAACACCTTAAAAATGAAAGCAAAAGGTAGCAAAAATAAAACCAGCCAGTTTCAGTACAGGCAGCATTCAACAAAAAAACAACATACTCATTACATTTCACAATGATAAGCAATGGATAAATTGCAGAATGCCTTACAAAACTGGCCAACATGAATGAAGAATTAATTCAAATACTGCAAAATTTGTATTGCATTTTGATGTGAAATGCTTAAATGGCAAATTTACAAATATCTACAATGACAAGTAACTTAACACCCAGAGCTATTTTATTTAAGACACAATATAAATCTAAGCAATATCTGTTAACAAACTGAAACTTTAATGCTATGTCAAAATCATTTCCACAGATAAAGAAGAATATTTAACATGACAGTTACCAATACAGTAATTTCTCATTTCATATACAGTACTTTCTTTTTCTGTTTGATACTATATGTCCGCAGATAATCCATCTTATGTTTCCTCAAAGCAAAGTTAAAATGTCAAAGCGTGAAATGTTTGTCATCCTTTATGAACTGCAAAACTTGAAGGCCTTAAGAATTAGTCCCCTATCTCAGAATGTTTAATTATGTCCCTAGTGGACATTAAGCCACTATTTACTTTACAACATGGATATACTTATAATGCATTAAGCCTGTAACTTTTTTTAAACAAGGTTTAAGAATAATCATTCTTACATAACAAAACTAAAGTTGTCAACATCTGATATTGCACAACACTTTTTGAAAGTTTACTAAGAAGCAGCTGATTACCAACAGGGTAGCGCATCTCATCAGCATGGTTAACCACGTTATTTTATATTAAAATCCTGGAGTAAACTCTGACATTCTAGAATTAGGTTAACCTAAACCTGACCCCCATCTCTCAAGCAGAAGACAGGACTGGGGAAGAAATCACAGAAGCAGTGTTTCTACAAGAGCTTTCGCTTACTACCTTCACTGAGAGCCCACTGTCACATTTTCCTCCAAGCTAGAGGAGATTGAAATCCGGTCCTGAGTTCTTGTGTTTTCTCATAGCAAGAGGAGGTTGTTCAATTGCAACAGTAAGCCTGTCCTCTACATTTTGTTCTCTTGCATATGCTGTAGAAGTACAAACTTTGATGCAGAGTTGGTATTTACAAAAAGTGAAAATCTTAAAGGAAATCATGAAAACAGCAAATAGGAACTGAATAACTCACAGCACAACTTAAAAGTGAGACATCCTCATTTGCCAAGACAACTTTCTTTATGTAAACATTTAAAATAAAATTGTACTTAATTTAATATGCTCACCTTTGATAATTCACACATACTGAAAACCTATTTTGAATTAAAACAAAATAGGAGGAGTAGGCCATTCAATATTTTGAGCCTGCTCCACTATCCAATACGATCATAGCCGTTCATCCAGCTCAGTAACTCGTCCCCGATTTCTCCCCATACATTTTAGCCCGAAGAACTACACCTGAATACTTTTTGAAAACATGTTTTGTCTTGCTTTATGCGGCAGAGAATTCCACCAGTTCACCACTCTCTGGGAATTTCCTCCTCATCTCAGTCCTAAATGGCCTACCCTGTATCCTTATACTGTAACCCCTGGCTCTGAAATCCTCAGTCAAGAACATCCTTCCTGCATTTACCCTGTTTCGTCCTGTCAGAATTTTATCAGCTTGAGAGATCACTGCCTCCTCTCTTCTAAACTTCAGTTAGGATGAAAGTGCAGGCCATTCATGAACATACCATCCAATTTTTCTTTCATTGTGTCTGTGGGGATAGACGGTAATTTCTCTTAACAGTCCAATGGGGCTTACCTTTTAAGAAGTGGGATGGCAGTTTTGTCAGGGGTCGAATGCAAGGTTTCCTGGCTACTTTCTGTATTGAAGGAAACTGTATCCGATATCCTGGATGGCGACGAACAATTACTGTTGTTCTGATTACTGTTTGGAATTAACTCCTCAAATAAAGAATCAGCATCATCTTTTTCAAGAAGAGGAGAAAGCATTCAAATATAATTGAATAAATTACAGACAAACACACACAAATAAAAATGCACTCTATCTCCATGGATTTGATGGCAATGCAAGATTCCTTTGACCGGGAGAGATGGTTTTCTTAGTCCAGTAGAACACAGCTACCTCAAAACAAGGGTTATACATGGAGGAATGAATGAGAGAAGTTACTGAAAAGAAATGTAAAGCATTGTTTTTCAGCAACTTGATTGCTGATCAAAACAATAATCTGGAGATAGGAATTCAAATCCCAAAATGACAGTTTATGAAATGAATTCTGTTAATTAAGTAAATTTGGAAAAAGCAAGAAAAAACACTAACATCAGCAATGGTGACCACAAATAAGAGGTTGTATTATAAACTCAACTGATTCACTAAGGTTGTTAAGGGAAGAAATTTCCTCCTTACAGTCTGGCCTACATATAACTCCCCTTCTACCCTCTGAATTGGCTTAACAAACCATTCAGTTGTATTCAAGGCAGCAGTTCCCCACTACTTTCTCAAGAGCAATTAGAAATGTGCAACAAACACTAGCCTTCTCAGCAATATCCACAACCCTGGACCAAAAAACAAGAAAACAAATATGGAGTCGAACATGAATTGTGAAAAAAATCAGTGTGTAATAACAAACTTGGTAGCTTCACCGGTTAAATTCTGCTACATTGATTCAACTCACTCATGTGGATTAGCTCACTTGGCTTATAAAATCATTTTACTAATTTGACCATTTAACCAAGTCCAGTAAATTCCAATTTCTCAGGTTGAACAAGGTAGTGTTGCAAGGCTCTATGTGAAAGAGCAGCTGTGACCAAAAGTCATCAGTTTGAAAATCTTAACAACAGATGCTGCCAAGTCTATTTTCAATATTTTCTGATTTTACTTGTAACCAAAGAGCCCATTTAATAATTCCTCTTTCTCCCTCTCAACAAAAATTATCATTGCTTATTAGCAGCAACTTTTTTTGTGCTTTCTGCTAAGTAAAAATGTTGCCAAGGGTAGTCAATGTGCTTCACTACGAAGTGTCGTTAGAAGCAAGTAATATTGTGGAAATGATTTAACTCTAATCTGCTGTCCTGTATTAGAAAGACAAATCAGAGTCTGCATTGACAGACTATTTCTATCAGATAAACAGTATTTACAAACAAGTAAAATTGCTGTGGATTAAAGAGAATCACCAAAACGTTAAATTGGCTTAGTGATAAACTCTCACCTGTATGAGATGGGAATTATTAGTTCAAGCCCTACTCTCAGGCCTCATTACATTTCCTTGGCCAATATTTAAGGAATACTGCATTTAAGGAGTTGGATACTTCACCTTTTAAGCCAAGGCTTAGGGATACTGTGCTGAAGGTGTCAATCATATCACCAACAATAGCCTTGCTGTAGTAAGCTTTGGCTGTTAACAGAATTTAGACTTCTAAATTAACTAATTGGCTCTGAAGTGCGTTAGGGCATGCCATGAACAAGAAAAGCAACACATAAACGCAAGTTGTTCTCCAATTTACCAACAAGATTAGGACAGATACGGAAATCAGAACACAAACACACAATTTTAGAGATGAACCAAAACTGAAGCCCGTTGTTTTCAGTCAAATATCATATTTACAAAAACTTAATTTCTACCTCTGTCCTCGACTAAAGTTTTAAAATATGATTTTAAAGCATCTAAGCATTTTCAGATGATGGTGCACAAATTTTCTGAAAATATATTGATGAAAGTCTCTTCACATTTACCCAGAACCAAAAGATTCTGACTATTTTACCAATCTTTAATTTGGGTGTACGTTCAGCCGATCTTAACCAACCTCTTTTCTCTTTACACAGTGCAACAATTTTTGGTTGAGTGATTGGTGTATCAATCAAGGGGGGCCTCAATTCTGCCATCTTCATCTCTTCATCAGAAGAAGTGTTTTCAGTATCCTATCAAATCAGAATGAGAAAGGAGGAAATAAGCAAGCTTTTTGAATACCATGATCACAAAAACATTTTTCCCATTTCACATTATAAATGTAGACCTTATAAAGAAAACAAAAAGACAAACCTAAAAAAAAATGCCCTGCTGTACATAACCTAAACGATTATACATACTAAACCTTATCCTAGTTCTTTCCCTCACCCAAATTTTAGCTACTCCTGAAGCTACTGATCTATACCAGTTAAGATCAGTGGAAATTTTACATCACCTGGTCCATTGAGCCCTCTACACCAAGAGTTATGTGGATCCCACTGAATCCGGCTTTATAAAATGCATCTCATAAATTTATTGTAAACAAGCCATGTGACTTAGAATAACTTTACGTTCTTAAAGCATCTTTGGATTAGCTAATTTATTAGACTGACTGCTGTTCAAGTGATATTTCCCTGCATATCCTTTGGCTACAAACAGAAGTTTCTCTCTTTAGATTGTGGGACAATAATAATTCAATCTCTACAGCTCTCCTTGTTCTGAAAGAACAGTCACGTCATAATCATAACATTTCAACTGGAGACAAAGGTTCCTTCAATACTACAGAAGTTCTGAATGTGCTGAGGTCTCAACAATTCTGAGACAACCCGGGATTTTATCAACATTTTAACTGACAGAAACATTGCTGTACAGAAACAATGTCAATTCCTAATTTGACCAAACTCGCTCAGTCACATTTCAGTCAAATTATACAAACTAAATTTGAACATTCAACCGCAGAGATGAGCAAAATTGCAAGAACATATTCAGCTCAGACGGTACAGCGATATACTTCCTTTGGCCTCCCATCTTTTCTTGACGAAAGATCTTAAATAACTTAGCTGCAGTGCTGTCCATTCACTCGAATTGACAAAATGGCTTATATGATAATAGTCAAGGGTACAGTTGAGAAGCTTTCCTGGTTTCCTGGCCAACATTTATCTTTCAATCAGCTCGACTGAACATCATAACCGGCATCATATGGTTGTTTCTGGAGCCATTATAAGCACAATACATAACATTTGTATTTCTAAATACAATCAAGCATTCATTAGTTGTGAAATAATTTGTAACATCCAAAGGAAGCAAAACTACTGTACAGGTACATGTTCTCTTTTTCATAAACATCTCAAATGGGATCAGGAGCAGGCCATTTAGCCCCTTTGAACTTGTGTTGCCATTTATTAAAATGATGGAAGATTGATTGTGGCCTCAACTCCACCTTCCTACCTACCTCCAATACCTTTTGACTTCTTTTTTAGTAAAGAATCTGTCTACCTCTGCTTCTTTACCTTGATTGGGAATGTGTAAGCACAGAAATGAGGATTGATCAAGGAAATCCAATTTACACATTTGTCCTAATTTCCCTTTTGCTGTGTATACTTACGCACGTGGTATGTGGAAGATTGAGATTCCTGCATTCTTAACTAAAATCAAATTAAAAAAAAAAATTGTCTGCATGGTGCACTATAATGCTTTAAAGCTTCTGACCAGCTGCGCATCACAATTTGTAAACTGACTGAATTGCAGATTTATCCCAGATCTGGGATCATTTCTGTGAAATGTACGACAGAATTGGTTGTACAACAGAAATTTACAATATTTGGGAGGAGGGGCAGAGGGGTTTGACTGGCATATGCAAGTAGGAAAATGGCACGAAGGGGAAAGAAAGAAGATGGCAAGGGGGGGATTTGATGCCAAGAGAAGATAGGAATGGTTGGGGGTGGATATGGCACAGAATGGTGGTGGGGCTGAATGGCCTGGGAGGTGTGGAATTGAGGATCTGATGGAGTTTGTCTTGAGGACAGTATGGAAAAAAAATGAAAGGAATGAGGCAGGCATGGCTTGGAGGTGGATAACATGGAAAGAATGATATGCTATTTTAATTAATAAAAGGCAAATCTCAATATGTATTTGTGGGTCTCTTTTGATATAAAAACTAATAGGAATCATAGCTGCTTTGCTCAAAGCAAAGCAATAAAATCAGACAACTGAAGTGAATAAAACAGTATTAGAAATTTAAATAAATGAGAAAAAGTTGAACTAAAAATGTCTAATTGTTAATTGTCAATCAGTTGGGAGTTAATTAATGACGACCACAGGAACGCAGTTGAGGACTCACCTTTGATCACATATTTAACAGCAGGCTCCAAGTGTGGTTGGAGATGTATGAAATAGAATGTGTCTCTGTACAGATAAAGCTTATAAAAAGTTTACAAAGACTAGGGTCCAATTCTATTTTTCACCACCTATTATCTGAATTGTAACATTAAAAAGCAAAGGAACAAGTTTAGTATTTATTACAACCACATGGAAATCACAGCAGCTCAACAATGAACTGACATTAGCATAGTTTTTAAATTTGTGCAAATCCATTTGTCCCTTAACTTTCATAAGTAATTTAGAAACAAGATTGCAAATACTGATATCAGCAGTTAACGATATACCTCAAGTGCATCTTCATCATTGGCAGCTGTACTTATATCCTCTGCATCATCATCAACTGCATTTGTTTGAATATTTTCCACATTGTCATTCAGGTCTTGCTTGATGTTTTGATTTGTGCAGTTTTCTACCATATTGGATTCAGTATTTTCTGTTGATTTGTTAGATTCTATGGTGCATTCTGTTACCTAAGAATGCAGCATTTTTAGAAAAATTGCAACTGAAAGCAGATCTTCAATTTTCGAAATATAATCTTATATTTCATGCCATACAGAACAGTGAAACATAAAGCAATTTTATTTAAATAGGTCTTTTACAAAAAAACAAATTCATTTAGATATGAAGAGTACTATTAACAAATCAAGACCTGCATTTTGGTAGAGGCAGTATATAATAAATTCTCAGAGGCAAATTAAAATGTTATATTAACTGTATCTAAATTTACATTTTCTGCTGTCAATGACAAGATTCAATCGAATTTAGAGGATACAGTTCTAAATGCATGTCTACCTACATAGGCCCCAGCAATATCAATGTGTTTTAGGATGAATGACAAGTTCAACAAAAAGAAATCCAATAGAAGGAAACGTGCTAGCCCCTTTACAAGGATATTGTCTGTGCAAGTACAAACACATTTTCAATAATAACACTTTCGGCATCTCATCAGCATCGTGGTGGTTATCCAATTCAAGCAATACAAGAAGAAATACTTTTAAAAATCTTCCAACAAATACAAGTTGGCATTACATCTTTTGGAGACAAGACAACAGCACGGAGAATTTTCAGATTTCGGGTTAATTACCTAAAATTATTTGTGTCTTTGAAGTCCGTAATCCAAAACAGCGTGAACAATAAAATACCGAACTGTGTTGTGTGCACCTTTTGTATAAGAATGTGTGAAAGTTTATCTATATCTAATTGGACTAAAACAAATAAATTGAAACTTTTAAAGGATATTGTAAGCATTTTTTGAGTGAAAATAATGAATTGGTAGGCTATTCATTGAATGACATAAATTCTAATTACCATGTACTCATTTAGTGCTGCAATTTATATTCTCTCACCTCTACACCAGAGTTTTTCGTTGTAACTGATCGGTCATCATTCTGCTTCATTTCAGTTCCAGAATCATCTGATGTTCCATCATCCTTTAATCTATGTACCACACTCTGTGCAGTTTTAACCATGTTTTTTAGTTCATCAGGATATGGTGTTGGATATCTTTTCAAGTTACCCTCCTGTATGCGAGCAAAAAGCATGTGTGAACATTCCGTTGGCAACTTACTGGTTTTGTTGCAGCACAGAAAAGTTAGTCAACACTTTTCCTGAAGTTCAGGATGACGTCAAACAGATGTGTGGATTTTTGTCGACAACCATTTCTCTGTTATGCACGTTACATAACAACTGAACTGTTCGTTCGTCATATCAGGATCTTAATTACACTTATGTTTCTTTTACAGTCCTACACAAAGTGCAAATGTTCCCATATTACTCAATCTCCTGTAATAATTAAAACTTATACATCTGAATAAACACTTTTATTCAATTCCTTTAACTACTGAGAATTGAAGGTACATTTTTTTTCAACATTGATAAACTATTTAAAAGTAAACATTGGAAATACTGTAAATTGTAAGGAGAATAGTGTAGAATTTGAGAAGGACATTAGGCAAGTTGGTCAGTGGGAACATAGGTAGAAGAAAATGTTCAATATTGAGAAGAGAGATGATCATTTTTGTCAGGAGAACAAGAATGAACAATATAAAATAAACAGTACAACTCTAAATGGGTAAAGGAACAAATGGATCTGGGTGTAAATGTGCAGAAATTATTAAAGGTGGGAGGACAGGTGGAGAGTACAGTTAATAAAGCATAACAAAAACAGAAGTTGCAGGTCTGGCAGCATCTGAGAAGAGAAAATTAGAGTTAGCGTTTCAGGTCCGGTGACTCTTCCTCAGAACAGACAAAGCGTACCCTTGTGGTGCAATGGTAGTGTCCCTACCTCTGAGCTAAAATGCTGGGTTCAGGTCCCACCTGCTCCAGGGTTGTCTAATATGGTCTCTGAATTGATGATTAAAAAAGAAGCATATGAGCTATGTGTCATAAATAGGGGTTTGGAGTACTTTTGCAGGGAGGTTATGGTGAACTCCAGTGGCATACTTTAGGGAAGATGTGAAGGTACTAGACAATGTGCATGATAGATCCATGGGATAAGGAACTTCAGTTATGAAGACAGATTGGAGAAATTGAGACTGTTTTCCTTGGAGAGAAGAAAATGCTGAGAGGAAATATGATCAATATATTTAAAATCATGAGGGGTTGGAGCAGAGTAAATAGAAACGAATGCTTCTAATTGTGAAAGAATTGAGAATGAGAAGCGACAGATTAAAAGTTAAGCATTTCTGGCCGAAGGGTGCAAGTTTGCACTTATGTCCTGGGCTTCCCCCATCTTTGAGAATGGTGATGTTTGTGGATCTCCTGCCTACTTTTTTTTAAAAACTGTTCACCACCATACAGTGTGGAAGTGGCACTTCTGGTCATGGAATCTCATAGCTCCGTCTATTGCATGCTGCTTCCACTATCGAGCAAGCAAACTTGTCTTGTATTGTACTGTCACCTTTATTTGAAGTGTCACTTTATTTACTCCTGACAAGCCCTCCTCCATTCTTCATTGAAGATTGCGATGGATTGTGGTCGAGTGCAATTCTGCAGCTGATCCACAGCATCTCACGGATACCCAGTTTTGAGTTGTTAGATCTACTCAAACGCTGTCCCTTTTTACAAAATGGTAGTACCACAGAGTATGATGGAGGATATTCCTCAACGTGAAGATGGGATTTGGTGTACACAAGAACTGTACAGTAGTCACTCATTTCAATACCTTCATGGACAGACACACCTGTGGCAGGTAGATTGGTGAGGATAAGTAGATTTTTCTCTCATTGGATCCCTCACCGTCTACAACTGGCCCAGTCAAGCAGCTATGTCCATTCAGACTCAGTCAGTAGTGTTCCATGAAGAATGAACCAGATGGATTTTTATAAATATTGACACAGAAATATAGAAAATAGGAGCAGTAGTAGGCCTTTCAGCTCTTTGAGCCTGCTCCACCATTCAATAAGATCTTGGCTGATCCTCCAACTCAGTACCCTGTTCCTGCTTTCACCCCATACATACCATTTGATCCCTTCAGCCTTAAGAAATACATGTGCCTCCTTCTCGGAAGCATTCAATGCTTTGGCCTCAACCACTTTCTGCAGTAGAGAATTCCACAGCTTCACCATTATTTGGATGAAGAAATCTCTCCTCATTGCAGTCTTACGTGGCTTACCCTGTATCCTTAAACTGTAACACCAGTTCTGCGCACCCAGTCACCAGGAACAGTGGGAGACGGTGGTTACTTAGTCACTGCTAAGCTAGGCTAGCTTTTAATTCCAGATGATTACTCAATTCAGATTTCACCATCTGCTTTGATATGATTCAAATCTATTTTCCCAGAACACGAGCTAGAACTCTGGATTATCAGTCTCGTGACATGACCGCTACATCACTGCCTCTCATTATTCTTACAGAAGATACCCTAACTTTGTCTCTCTTCATGAATTGCATTTTGTCCCCACCATAATTCAATTGTTTGACTCTAAAGTGCAGCCTTGTGCCCACAACTGAACAAAGCTCAATTACGTTAGAGGACTCAATATATAGCACCCCTAGAGCAGTATAAAGAGTGGCGGGAAGACTCAAAAAGAAACCATGGAAAGCTAAAAGAGTGGATAACAAATGCATTATGAAGGAAAATCCAAAGGGGAATTTTAAATATATAAAGAGCAAGAAATAAACTAGGAAAAGTACAGGGCCCATTAGGGACTAAACAGAAAATCTGTGTGTTGACCAGGCAGACATGGGAACTATCATCCATAAACACTTTGTGTCAGCTTTCATAATGGAAAAGGACAATGCAGGTATAGATATTAGATGAAGGAGAAGAAATGAATAGAGAGCGAGAGACCGCAAGAGAGCGAGAGAGAGCATGAGAGGAAGTATCGATGGGTTTAGCATTCTTACAAGTGGACAAATCCACAGGCCTAGTTGAAGTAATGAGAAAGACAGAGGAGGAGATATCAGGGACCTTAGCAGTAATTTTTAAATCTGTTCTGGCCACGGGTGAGGTGCCACAGGAATGGATGATTGCTAACATTGTCCCATTACTAAAAAAGGAGGAAGAGGTAGACCAGGAAATTACAGAGCAGTCAAATCTCAACAGTGGGGATTATATCAGAAAGAATTTGTGGGATAGAATACAGACGGGAGAAGAGAGGGATTCATTTTTGATAGTCAGCATGCATTTGTGAAGGGAAGGTCTGGTTTGACAAATTTGATCAAGCTTCCGAGGAGGTAACCAAGGGTGTTGATGAGGTTAATGTATTTGATGTGATGTACATGGACTGTAGGATGGCTTTTGATCAAGGTCCCTCATGGCCGACAAGTCAAAAAAGTAAAAGCCCATGACAAAGTGGTACATTGGATTCAAACTTGGCTGAGAAGCAAGAACCAGAGGGCAATGGTAGAGGTGTGACTGGAAGTGTGCTTCCAGTCAGGTTCCATAGGACTCAATGATAGAGCCCTTAATGTATGTGGTGTACATTAATGATTTGGACTTCAATGTAAGAGGCACGGTCAAGAAGATCATACAGGACACAAAAATTAATACAGTGGTAAATAATGAGGAGGATGGCAGTAAACTACAGGAAGGTATCAACAGACTGGTCAGGTGAGCAAGGCAGTGGCATATGGAATTCCACCTGGGAAAGTGAGGGATAATGTTTTTGGAAATGGCTAAGGTATCACACTATGGAATGGTAGGACCCCAAAGTACTGAAGATTAAACGGACCTTGGTGTGCATATCCACTGACATCAGGGCAGGGTATGTAGGTGGTTAAGGAGGATACTTGAATTGATGCCTTGTCAAATAAATGTAGGAGCAAAGAGGTTTTGCTGGAACTCAATAAAATGTTGGTTAGAGCACAACTCGAATACTATGTGTAGTTCTAGTCACTATGTTATAGGAAGGGTGTAATTATAGTAGAAAAACTGCAATCTATTTACACTAAACAGATGTCCAAAGGGCACAATAAATTCATCCTGCTGCCTGGGCAGGAAGGTCTTACCAGGGTGAATGGGAAGGTGCTTTTTCTATAGGGATTAATAACCAGGGGACATTGATTAAAGTGAAAGCTAGAGGGTTAAAGGAGAGTTGAGTAGAAAGATTTTCATCCAGAGTGTGTGGGGAGTCTGGGACTCACTGGCTAGAAGGGTCATTGAGTAAGAATCTTTCATAACAGTTAACTGCTATTTAGATAGTTGCATTGATATAGTTTCCAGGGCTCTGGATCAAAAACTGGAAAATGGGATTAGTGCAGTCTGTAGACTGAATGAACAATATTGCTCGACAGTACTTCTAACATTGTTGCTTTGCAAAATATTCTGTTGTAAACTCCATTCTAAATCATCTATTTCACAAAGAATTAGAAAAAAAAGCAAAGGTCTAAATCGCATGAACATTTTCCTGTATAACTACATTCAAATGTTAGCTAAAGGATAACTAAAGGATCTCTTTCCAAATTAGTGATTTTTACACAAGTCATGTTTCAGATAAGGGGCTGCACTTTCAAAGCAATTATTTCTAAAACATAACAGTAGTGGTCTGAAATGTAAGTGATTTGTCAGTATTCTTGTCATGGAGCAGTTACAACAATCAATGTGGCCACATGGTGATGCTGTCGTTCTTATTGGTTTAGTTGCCCTTAATCACATAAGAGGCCATTGATGAGTCACAGAGTAGAAAGTGCACACTGTAGAAGAATTAATTGAACTTTGTTTTTCCACAGATAAAATGTTCGTATTTACTTGTCAACCTACCAGGCAAATTTGTTCCAATGAACAGTTTTAAATGTATTAAGAAATTAATATATTTCCACTAATTTACTTCAAACCAAATCAATGTTTATCCATTCCTGTGCATCTACAACTCTTACAAAGTTAAGTGTTAGGCTACCTTGCAAGTCCCATTAAAAAAAAACATATAAATTACAGCTGTGCCTCGATGTCTTACTTGGACAGAATGCTTTGGGAATTTTTCCCTCTTATTGATTATTTACAGATGTAAATTCCTCAATAAAAGGAGTATTACGCTTCTGTTGTGAAGTTATCGTTTAAAAGCAAAGTCTTGTTACTTTTGTAAGTAGGATCCAAGCCAGTTGGTGAGATTGAAACCACAACACAAATATTGTTTATTTTGAAGAGAGTTTATTGATTTTCTCAGGTTTACCTTTCTTACCTCACACCCAGTCTCTCAATTGCGCCTATTATAGATCTGCCCAGACAATTAATAGCCATCACCCGCTCCTCTTAAATAAAGAGAAAAGTTAACTGCACGACTTGATTAATCAGACATGAACAACTTTAACTTCAAGGAAGATACTTTTAAATCTGAGGAATGAAAAAATATTAAATGTAAGTTGAGTGTTACAGTAATCTATTTGTCAATTGGATGTCCAACTGCTTTGCCCCTGTCCACCATGAGTACCTTCCCAAGGGTAAAGAACAGCCTGAACACTTCTCTTCCAATGATTCTGTCCAAGGGAAGGCACCCAGTCTGAAAGTGAAGTTATCATGCCCCAGAAAATCCCATATGTGACTGCATTCTACTGCTCAATTTTTTTTGTGATTTAAATATTGAAGGAAAGCTTTCCTCTTTAAAGTATTTTTTACAATGACAGCAACATTTAAAAGGCAATTAAAAATGCAAATGGGGCAAAATAATTATTTCTTTTCATCATTAAATTTTTGTACATGAATATGAATGGCTCAGGGTTAATCAGTGATTGGTACCCAATTCAAGGTAAGTGCTAACTTGCCCACTACTGACAGTGAAGTCACCACACACAATTCAGTTTAGTGAAGTGCTTGCATTTGCATATTTCAAAGTAATTTACATAATGAATAGTTTGCCCTGTAATAGCTCAAGTACCCAGATGCAGAAACAGCTCTCTAATACTCACCCTCTACAAGCAAACGTGAAACCAATAATAAATCTGTTTCCATGTGACATCAGTTGCCTAGGATAAATCCCTGCACTTCAAATAGTGATATGAACTATTTAACATTCTTTATTTAACAATTACTAGGACATGTGGAACAAACAGAGAAAGTCTCATTTTAATCTTTCACCCATGACAAGGCAGTGTTCCCTCAGTCTTCCACAAGTGTGTAGGTAGTGCATTCAAGCTTTGACCTTGCACTCAAGTACAGAATTTTAAGTTTGAGGCAAGAGTGCTCCGAATGTAATTAAGGCTAAAATGAAATAGCTATCTTTTGAACACCTCAAATTGTTTTTATGACTTAAGGTGCATTTAATCCGACTATTTGTTGAGCTCACCCGAGGTGGTGCCTCTCTTTCATCCTTGTCCTCGTCACACTCAAAGGCCACTTGTGCGCGTTGCTTCCTCTGCTCCTCCCATAGTGAAGGGTTGAAACTTTCATTATCCGAAATAAACAACACTAATGAAGCAACAGAATGATTTCCCATTAGAAAGTTTTCTTAAATAGTAGGTAACATTTTTGCTGGAATAAAAACATTTTTCTGGAGAAATTTAGCAGATCTGGCAGCATCTGTGGAAAGAAAGCAGAGTTGATGTTTCGAGTCCAGTGACCCTCTTCTTCAGAACTGACGGAAGCTAGGAAACAGTGGTATATATACTGAAGACAGGCAGTGTTGGTGGAAAAAGTGAGCACAGATGGACCCTGGGGCGGGGTGGGGGGCTGCAGGGAGGAAAGAGAGAGGGGGAGAGGTGGGGGGGTGGGGAAGAGAGGGAGAGGTGGGGGGGGATGAAGAGAGAGAGAGGTGGGGGGGAGAGAGAGAGAGGGGGGGAGAGAGACGGGGAGAGAAAACAACAGTTAGGCAGACAAAGGGATGGATGATGGTATGCCAGGGAGAAAGTAAAGCTGATAATGGGGACTTTGCATCAGTTTAAACAAGAGTCCACCTTGAATAAAGCATTGTGTTAAACTGATACAACAGAGACCAGAATAGTGAACGGAATGAAATTGTAGTGCTTTGGTTTTTATTTTGCAGTTCAAATCTGCAAAATCCAAGAAAGTCCCTGTCAAAAAGAACAATTTATTTAGGTATAAGAAAATTAATACAGGTAGTTCTCCGAAACACGATAGTTGCATTCTTGTGTAACCCCACTACTGAAAATCACTATACATGTACAGCAGAAAGTTTGCATTATAGAAACAGCGTCCACTATTCATTGATTACATTACAGCCAATTTGTATTAATGAAACAGGCGTTATAACAGTACTACCTGTATTAATTTTCCATCGGTCAAATTCTGCTGCAGGGGCTGTTGTGAAAATGCAACACCTCTTATGGATTGTAAATATGTCTTTTAATGGAATTTCACTTATTTCTGCATCAAGTGACATTGGCACTTTAATACTTTTCAAAAGTGAAAAGCATTAGTTGAGCAGTCCACGTATCAGAGGAAGGCATGAAAAGGCTCTCTGAAAAACTGATTTACAACTCCATGTAATACTTAAATGTGGGTTAACATATAACATTTAAACTCCAGCAGCCAAATTTATTTTCCCACTATAGGGTTCATAAAATCCAGCTGTGCTGCGTTAATAGGTGGAGTAAACAAACTGCATTTAATTATCAATGGTTTTCTTTTTGCTCAGAAGTGAAGGATGCTACTGGGGATAAATGAAATCTTGCCACTCTGTGCGCTTCATTTTTTGAAGCATCAAGCCAGATTCTTTTCCTCTACCTCTACTGAAACCACTGCACTAGGTTTTTGAGTCACCACAATTCTCATGCTCTTTTGGAATGGGTTGGCTGATTTCGAGGAAGCTACGTAGTGGGTCCACTGTCCCTAAAACCTGGACCAAAACCAGCGACAATGATTTCAAGTAGCTTTTTCTCAGCCAGAGCTTTTCATCTCATCAGTCTGAAGTGCATTCAAAATCAAGTGAAAGGAAGTAAGCTCACTGTGCAAGCCAATGTACCAACCTGTCTCCAGGGTCCAATTCAATGCAAATTGTGACTTAACTCAAGGCCACAAAAACGCCTGGTGTGGGCAATAGTAGACGTATGCAGCTTTCTTTCAGAGGATTGAATTGGAACAGAAAAAATGAATGTTTTATTCTCTATCGAACCAAGGTAGAATTTTAGTCAGGAATAACAACAAAGCATCATAAGGTGCTCTCTGATAACATGGCCTTGTAAATCATAGCATTATGCAATCATTTACAGCATATGGTAACTTTCCTCAGAGATCAGTCAGTTCAAATCTATCAATCACTCAGACCCTGAAGCTTGGCAAATCTATTTCAAAGAACAAAGAACAATACAGCGCAGCAACAAGCCCTTTGTCTGTCCAAGCCTGCGGTGACATGTTTTGCCCATCCATACTAAAACAGTCTTCACTTACAGGATCTGTATCCCTCTATTCCCTTCCTATTCATGTATTCATCCAGATGCTTCTTGAATGCCACTGTTGTGTCTGCTTCCACCACCTCCTCTAGCAATGTGTTCCAGGCACTCAACACCCTTTGTGTGAAAAACCTGCCTTGCATATCTGTATTAAACATTCCCCCCCGCCAAATGCACTTTGAACCTGTTTCCCCTAGTAATTGACCCCTCCACACTGGGAAAAAGACTCATACTTTCTGCTCTATCATGTCATTCACAATCTTATAAACTTGTATCAGGTCACCCCTCATCCTGCTGAGTCCCAGTGAAAATAAACCCAGTCTGTCCAAGCTCTCTTCTTAGCTAAAATCTCCCATACCATGTAACACCCTGGTAAACCTTTTCTGTACCCTTCCCAAAGTATTCACATCCTTCTGGTAGTGTGGTGACCAGAACTGGACACAATATTCCAAGTGTGGCTTAACTAAAGTTCTATAAAGCTATAGCATAACTAGTCTATCCTTATACTCACTCAATGTCACTTTCAAAGAAGGCAAGCATGCCATAGGCCTTTTTTACTACCTTATCTACCTGTGTTGCCACCTTCAATGATCTGTGGACCTGCACACCCAGATCCCTCTGCATATCAATATTCCTAAGGGAGTATTCCTTTAAATGCCCATTCAATTTCTTTTTAAAACCATCCATTCTCTCCCTTTCAACCTGCATTGTATTCAGAGAGTTCAAGGCCACTACCACAGAGTGTCAAGAAAATTCTTCCTCACATTCCCCTTGCCTCTTCTGTCCAAAATCTTACATCTGCATCCTCTTGTCCTCGTGGCATTAATTTCCTTGTTTGCCTTATCTAAGCCTGTCCTATGTTTGTCTACGTCTATCAACTCTCCCCTCAATTGATTTAACTGAAGAGCAACCTCAACCTCACAACCTGATCTTGTAGCCAAAACCTCCGATATCCTGGAACCATTCTGGAAAATCTCCTCCGCACCTGCATAAAGACCTTCACATCTTCCCTAATGTGTGGTGACCCAAATCCAGGCTGAGAAGTTAGAACATGGGGTCATCATCTCAGAAAATGGGTAGGATATTTTGAACTAAGGTAAAGAGAAGTTATTTAACACAGAGGATGGTGAGCTTGTGGAACTCTCTAGCAGAGACTGCGGAGGGCATGTCAGCGAATATGTTTATGAAAGATTTCTAGGAACTAGAGTTATCAAGGGGTAATGAGAGTGAGTAGGACCACAGTGTTGAAATAGAGGATCAGCCATGATCATGTTGGTTGTAGTGTGTTCAATGAGATAATGGTCCATTCTTAATACTTACAACTTAGAATTACTGTAATGTTTAAGTTTTAACTTTGTTCTTTCTTTCTACCTTGTTCTTATGACACTAGGTACTTATACCTAAGATGGCATCTTGTGTGGCGACATTATACACTTTTCACTGTACTCCTATACTTTTGTACTTGAGTACACATGACAATAAAATCTAAATCTAAAAGTCATCTCTAGTCATAGCCAAACCAGAGCTTTATATATTAAACATCTGACTCAGTGTAGCATCAAGGAACCTGCCAAAGTTATACCAATGAGAATCGGGGTAGGTGGGTGGGTGGGGGGATCCTCTCCACTGGTTGGAGTCATATTCAGCACTGGAATGATCACAAGTAGGTGGACCTTGCTGACTATGAGATCCTTGATTGCAGTTGTTAACCTGGGCCAATCATGAAGCTCTGGCTGACCCATATAATCAGGGAATTTAGAATCTCCTCAGTCCAGGGAACTGACTCCAAGCTGGCTGGGCCACAGCCAGTGGACTGTGCAGGTGTAAATAAAGGGTGGCTTGGTGACAGGATACTGGCCTCTGTGCTGTTATTTCAAGTACAAAGGAAGATGATCAAGTTTGCTGGAAATCAACCAAATCAGTCCAAGGAAATTACTGCAGGAGTTTGTTAGGGTAGCGCCCGAGGACCAATCATCTTCAGTTGTTTCATCAATGACCTTCTTTCTGTCCCAAAGTCAAAAGTGAATATATTCGCTGATGATTGCACAATGTTCAGCACCATTTGCGACTCCTCAGATACCAAGGCAGTCTGTATGCATATGTAGCAAAACCTGGCAAAAGCCCAGGCTTGGGATGATAACATTTGTGGCACACAAGTGGCAGGCCATGAAAATCCCCAAGAGTGAATCTAACCACCTGCCCATGACAGTCAATGGCATTACCATTGCTGAATTCACCATTATCAACATCCTGGGGCTTACCATTGACCAGAAACTGACCTGGATTAAACACTCTGGCCATAAGAGCAGATAATATGCTAGGAATGCTGTGGTGAGTAACTCACCTCTGTCTCTCAATGTTTCTCCACCACCTACAAAGCAGAAGTGAGGAGCCTTTTGGTACGTATTCCACTTGGCTGGATGCAAGTGATGTCAACAACATGTAAGCAGCTTTGACATTACTGTAGTCAAAGCAGCCAGTCAGGTTAACAGTCAAACACCACCAAAACTTTCGCCCCTTTCCACCAACACACATCAACAAGCAAAGGACATAGAGTTAAGGTGATTGGCAAAAGAACACAGGCCATGCAGAGACTTTTTTGTTAAAAGCAGCAGATTATGATGATCCCTAAAACTGTGACAGAAGCACTTTCAATATTAACCTTCAAAAGGAAAGTAAATAAAATACTCAGACTGATTTCTTTTAAGATAGAGAAAGATTAAGGGAAAAGGGATTAATTAGATAAGGAGCCAGCCTAGACACTACGAACTGAATTAGCTTTCTTCTGTGCTCTGTCATACAATTGTGGAGATAGACAGGGTCAGACATTGAAAAACCTTGCCAAGACACACTGTATGGGGTCATACACATAATCACCACTTGGGCAATTTATTGGCTGGTGCTTGAAATCTAAGTGTGAAGAATGCATTAAAATTTGTTTTTCAAGCAAGTTTTTCCACTGAGAAAGAAGTTGAAACTGATAACTGGGATTTTCAAAATTGTAGTAAAACTTACCATCTTCCGTCCTAGGCTGCTGAGGGAACATGTAGTTCGTGAGCACTTGTTTCTGTGTATCTGGATCCACCTCTTTCTGAAGAGGAATAAGTGGTTTGGACTGCAAAAGAAGGCTAAAAGTTAATTGATTCTTTTTTCCCCAATTTCCTCCCTTGCCCGAAGGCAAATAACAGAATGAAATTCCACAGCTAACAGTCCTCGAGTGTTTCACACAGCTTGCCATTGCAAACTGAGAGAGCGAGCCATTTGGTCTCAGATAGTCACTGGCAGCTAAGTGTTCACTTCCAGAGGAACTTACAGGATAATCAGAATTAGGAACCTGGGCCAATTTATCCTTTCTCACAGATCCTAGAGCAAGTTACATCGAATTCAAGATTAAACGCATATTTCAGTTCACAGTCAGTGACATAATAACGCCAGGTGAAGAGAATACTAAAGCTGTCACAGCAAGAGTGCCCAAAAAGAAATGTGTTAGATGAAAGATTGCAAGAAAGACATCATCAGGGCAGCTTAAGCATGTATACCCAACAGATCGCTAAAGGTAGCAGAGCAGGTAATAAGGCGGTATATGGGACACGTTGTTATTAACTGAGGCACAGAATACAATAGCAAAGTGGCTACACTGGAACTGTGTAAGCCTTGAGCAGCAGAGAAGGGGGAAGACCGGATGAAACAGTAAAGGATACCCAATAGGCAGGTGCTCCGGGAGAGAAGATGACAGTCAGGAGCTAATTCATTATTATAAGAGTATTTAGTTTGAAAAGCATGACAGCAGTTAAGAATATAAAAGCTAGCTGTAAAATAATGAAAACTTAATCTATTTTAAATTATTTTGGACACTACCCTTAGAATATCCATATAAATCATTAATACAAAAAGTATTAACCAATGAGGCTGTTGACTCGCTCGCCAAACTGGCTTGTTCTCGTTCAGACATTTCATCACCATACTAGGTGACATCATCAGTGGAGCCTCCGATGAAGCAATGTTGCTCTACTCCGCTTGGATTTATACTGTATGGTCCGTTATGGTCAGTAGTGTCATTTCCGGTTTTGGTCTGTATGGGTTGTATATGGATATGCATATACAAACCCATACAGATCAAAACCGGAAATGACACTACTCACCATAACAGACCAGACAGTATAAATTCCAAGCAGAGTAGAATAACATTGCTTCATCAAAGGCTCCACTGATGATGTCATCGAGCAAGGTGACGAAACGCCTGAACAAAAACAAGCCAGCTCGGTGAGCAAGTCAACAACCTTACCCACAGCCCGAGCTACAGATCTTTGCTAAAACTTTGAGTATTATCTAATAACATGTAGACCTAAAACGTGAGGACTTTCAACAGAATCTAGAAAACTGCTAGAATGAAAACACCTTAATGGAGAGGCAGGACACATCTATTTTTAACATGGAAATCTCACTGACCTTTCTTGGAAAACTTGCTGAAAATAAATTTATAGTCCTGTCCTAATTTTCCAGTGGTGCATTTTAAAATTTGGGTTCTGTTACTCACCTGGTTTTCAGACAGCCACATTGCTGTTAGCTCTTGCAGCTTCGTGAAACTAAATGGCAGATTCTTTAATCTAAGAAAATATAATTAGGGTAAGTCAGTTAACAGGAAAACTGTAATTAAATTCACAACGTAAATTACAGGCTGAAGCAAATGTTGTGATAATAGTATCCTGAAACTTGCAAAAACATTTTTTTTGTGGGTGGTGCATAATGCTAAGCAGCTATTTAATTACTTTAGAGACACAGTTCTGTCAATGAAGAAACTAATCTAACAAAAAATATGCAGAAGTGGCAGACTACCTAAAGATTACAAGGCACTCCTACTTATGAAGCTGAACAATACATTGGAACTTAAAGGAAGTGTTTCTAAAGATTGTAGGATCGATTTGCATTGATTGAATAGGTAAAGCAGCACAGCAACTAGGATTTATTTCATATACTTAGAATAACAAGTACATTTGTCACTATCCAGATTACAGCAATCATTTGAGGATGGGGAGAGCCGGATGAAATGGGAATGGGTGTGCAAATTTCATCAAACCATCTGATGCTGTTCTCATTATTAGAATTTCTTAAATTGCAGTTTTTGCAATTTATTCTGTAATAATGTAATTAGTAAATGCATTTGGTCATGGCAGAGGTGTTTCATAAGTACTGTGCTTCTCCCACCAAATAAATGATCCAAGCGTGGTCATCATCTTAAAATTGGAGATTAACTTTTTGCTGCCTTTGGTTCAGATTGTGGGTTAGTTTGAACATATGCTGTTTACCAATGAAATATCAGCGTTTTTCCAGAAGCAGTGGAACAGAAACTGTTTGCAGGGAAGTGACAAGTTCCCAGAATAGCCATTGTAGCACCAGTAAGAATGGTATACAATGAAGTGAGGGATTAACTTTATTCATCTATCACAATTAATAAATTCTTTACTTAGAAATCCATTAAAACTAAAGAAGGTGGTACAGCAGAACAAAAGTATGTAATGTGTTCTTGTCTGGCACAATCGTCCGACTGCAAGGACTGCTGAAAGCATTGCCTTCCACCAATTGTTTAATTAATCTAGGCAAATACAAAACAGAAATTGCTGGAAAAACTCAGCAGGTCTGGCAGCATCTGTGGACAGAAAGCAGAATTAACATTTTGGGTTCAGTGTCCCTTCCTCAGAACTGGACAAACATGTTAATTCTGCCTTCTGATCACAGATGCTGCCAGACTTGAGTTTTCCAGCAATTTCTGTTTATTTTACCACCACAGACGTGCACTTGACCAACTCTTTAAAGTGGCAGAACAAGGTTCGTTTGTTGCTTATATTACCATGTGTAAACTCAGGTTAAATTGTAAAATTAATCTACAGTGGTAATTTGTTCCACACAATGTCTTAAAGCATGGGCTTGAGGGTCAGAGAGTCTCTTTACATCTCATGCTTTATGTTCCTACCTTTTGGTACTTCACATAAAAATTTGCAAAGTTCAATTTATTGCACACTTTGAAGCATACTTTCACAAACAAAAGAAAATTCTCCATCAACAAGATTCAGAGATACTTGAGTGACAATTGCAAAATTAATTTCCATAAGAATCTGCAGATCAAAATCCTCAAAGCATGCATAACAGAATTTCACTTGCATTATGGATGGACAAATCTAAATGTAACCTATTCCAAAAATACTGCAGTTATCTCACTACTCTACAAATTTGCGGTACAGTTGTGCCAACATTCTATTCAAACACATTTTTAAAAAAAATCAAAGGAAGCTTAATTGGAAATACGTCAACACTGAAATATAAATTATCCTTAGAAATTTGAAAATTGCAAAATAATGAATCATATAATCTGTCCTTAAATTCTCTCTGAACTATAGGCAAAAGTAGTCTGAAAAACAACAGCATTTCTGCCAAGTACCACTTAATTCTGAAATACCAACCGGTTGTCACTGAGATTAATGACTTTCAATTTCTGCATCTCTCCCATTTCTTCAGGCAAGTATTCCAATTTGTTGGAATGAAGGAACAGCACAGTCACATTCTTCCAGTTACCAATCTGAGGTAAATCAAATTGTCACAATTTTAGACATTTGCAATAGAAAAGCATGAACTACAGCACTAGCCTTTAACCAACAAGACGACACTGGGTAGAATGAAGTTCCTAACCAGATGCTTTAGATGAAGTTATAAATAATACTTAAAAACAAACGATTATGTAGCAGAATATTCGAGACGGCATGAAGGCTAAATGATAATGAGGAGGTACTGCAGCCATACAGCTAACACATCACTTGTTCTTCAATGTTGGAACTCATTTCAGAAGAACATGAACAACTCAGGTGAGGTACACAGCTGATATGGTAGCATTAATTCTGTATCATTAGATGAATTCCTGAAGGTCACAGTTTTGTCTTTATTTGATTACTGCAGTTAAAGCTAGACTAACTCGGAAAGAAATTTACCGTGTTATGTTGTCCCAAACTAATCTATTTGGATGGGAATTCCATTCAGGCAAGAGAGGACAGGAAGCTCAAATTACCTACACAGCATGAAGATCCCTTCATCATGACTGCCTCTCTAAAGTCAGAAAAAAGTTACATTTCAATATTTCTTTATCTCCAATGTTTGATATCACCAGGCAACACAGTGAAGATGTTTTCAGTAATGTTGAAATTAATAACGTACAGCTAGCAGATACCCGTCACCTATCAAATCCTGTATTACTTAAATTTCCTTAATGAAGAGCATCCAAACAGGTTTTACAATGCTTGCATGGAAATACTGCCACCCAGTTGCAACTACTGATGTAATATTTTTCACATAAGGATTGGAGAATGTGAAATGTACTTCCTAAGTGGGAAGTCAAACAGAGGTCATTAAAAATTTTATGTAATATCGGGATAAAACTTTGGTATGAAGGTCCATTGAGGATAAAACATAGATAAATGGGTAAGAAGCTCCGATTGTGGGGTCATCCTGATCGAGAAAAATGGCTTTGGCTCTTTTGTAAGAAGTTAGAAACATTCAAAGTTCCCCAGTAAAAAGTTCTATTTTTCTCAGGAATGTGCTGAAAAATAAAAGTTTACAAATGCCATTTGTTTGATTTCAATGTGAAACATAGTGGTTTAAGTTTTATTATTGTTAAAGACTTAATTTTAGCACAAAACAATACATTAGGAGAGATAAATGGACATTGATATTTGTGCACAGACTTCAGAAATAATCTTGAAACTTGGAAAAAATAATATGATTCTACATTAAAGATGCTATGTAAACATAACAGCTTTTGACAAGAAGCCAAAATGGCAAGCCAAACCTATAGCAAAATTAGGCTTGACTGTTCCAAAAAGGTGTCTGGAACTCAAATTAAGACTCAAGCTAAGGCGAAGCTGATCAGCATTAGCATGCTGGGAAAGTGCATAAGAAGAACAGCAGTTTTATTAAATGTGTAACAATCCACAATTATACAGGGATCAAAGATACAGAATGTGCAAAAAGCAATCGCAAAGGCAAACTGAGCATGATACTTCCTCACCTTGAATGTTTTGCAATTATAAAATATGTTACTTGTGGAAATTCCACAGAAAACATGACAGTACTGACAATGGATGGCAAAGACAATTGTCATGTTAACTTAGATAAGTATGTGGTTTATCCATTTTGGTCAGAGGAATTGAAAGGCAACTTGTTATCCGAATGGAGAGAAACTTCAGAATGCTTCCTTGTCAAGGGATCTGTGTCTCCTCATGCATGAATCACAAAACTAGTACACAGATCCAGCAGATAATAAGGAAGACAAATGGAGTTTTGGCATTTATTGCTAAAGCAATAGAGGACAAAAAAGTAGGCAAGTGTTGCTGCAACAAGTCAGCACCTGAAGTAATTGTAAAATTTTGGTCCCCTTACTTGAGGAGGGACAAGTTGTACTGGAGGCAATCTGGAGGAGGTTTGATAGATTGATTGCAGAAATGAAGGGTCTATGTATAGAGAGAGAGAGCGCAAGTGTGAGAGAGCGAGTGTGATTTCGACCTATCCTGTCTGGGGTTAGAGCAATGAGAGGAATCAAACTGAGGTACATAAGGTGCTAAAGGGAATTGATGATGTAAATGCAGAAAGAATGTTTTCTCTATGGGGCAATCTAGAATGAGATGTCATTGTTTTAGGATAAGGGGTAGAGTTAAAAGATTTAAAATAGATGAGGAGAAATTGTTTTTCTCAAAAGGGTCACGAATTTGTGGAATTCACTACCCCAGCTTGCGGTGGATGCTGAGTCATTGAGTAAATTTAAGGAGGAGACAGATTTTTAATTAGCAATGAGTTGAAGGTCTATGGAGAATGGGCAGGTAAGTAGAGTTGAGCAGAGATGAAATCAGCCATGATCGTATCAAATGGCACAGCAGCCTACTCCTGCTCCTAGCTCTTACTTTCCAGTGTCTTGTAAAATTTACTCCAATTAGTTCTTCCAGTATATTATATTGCAAGGTAACAATAGTCACTTGACGATATTAGTTTGCAACATTTTGGAACATAGTGAAGGAGGAGTATGGAGTAGGCCAGTAGGCCAATTATGCCTAATTTATAATTTAATTAGATCATAGTCGATCTCTACCCTAATTACATTATGCAGTCATAAATTACTCCATTTCACCAACAACGGTTCAGAAAAGATTTACGAGGATGTTGCCAGTGTTGGAGGGTTTGAGCGATAGGGAAAGGTTGACTAGGAAGACTATTTCCCTTGGAGCGTCGGAGGCCGAGGAGTGATCTTATGGAGGGTTATAAAATAGCCAAGGTCTTTTCCCCAGGGTAGGGGAGTCCAAAACTAGAAGGCATAGATTTAAGATGAGAGGGGAAAGATTTCAAAGGGACTTAAGGGGCAACTTTTTCACGCAGAGGGTGTTGCATGTGTGGAATGAGCTGCCAGAGGAGATTGGTACAATAACAACATTTAAAAGACATCTGGATGGATATATGAATAGATTGTAGAATCTCTACAGTGTGGAAACAGGCAACTTGGCCCAACATGTCCATACCTCCCCTCTGAAGAGCATCCCACCCAAACCCATTATCCCACCCCCGCATTTCCCCTTAGTCAGACTGGAATCCAGCGACCACACAGAAGGCAAAAAATTGTATGTTAACTAAATGCTTTGTAATAAAATATCTAAGCTAAGAATACAGATATGAGCACCAAACACATAGTTACAGTAATGTAGCATTTCATCGTGCTGAAAAGTATCAAAGAATTATAATTTGAGAAGATAAGTTGTTATCAGTGAATTTAGGGAAGTGCACTCTAGTCTCATTACACCACTGGGCACAACATGAATTTAATTGTTTTACCCAGTTACCAAAATGGCCAATCACGTGCTTTCTCTGGTTTAGATTCAGAATAAAAAGAGTAAACCAGGTTTTTTAATAAACCCAAAATTAATAGACAGCACAGTGTCTCAATGGTTAGCACTGCTGCTTCATAGCGCCAGGGTCCCAGGTTTGATTCCAGCCTTGGGTGACTGCCTGTGTGGGAGTGTGCATGTTCTCCCCATGTCTGCGCGGGTTTCCATTGGATACTCCAGTTTCCTCCCACAGTCTGAAGATGTGCAGGTCAGTTGGATCAGCCATGCTAAACTGTCCCGTATTGAGCAGAAATGTGTAGGCTAGATGAATTAGTCATGACAAATATGTGGTTACGGGAACAAAAACAAAATTGCCGGAAAAACTCAGCAGGTCTGGCAGCATTTGTGAAGGAAAGGACAAAGTTATCGTTTCGGGTCCGGTGACCCTCCCTCAGTGGTTATGGGGATAGGATATGGGCCTGCGTGGATGCTCTTCGGAGGGTTGGTGCCGACTTGATGGGTTGAATGGCCTTTTTCCACAATGCAGGGATTTTATGATTCTATTGATGAATGCTAGAAATTCCACCGTGAGTATCTCATCTCCTGTCTCCCCAGTGACTGTCCACCATCTGCAAGGCACAAGTCAGAACTGTGGTGCAATACACCATTTGATGAATGCAGCTCCAAGATACTCTAGAAGCTCAACATCATCCAGCTCAAAGCTTACTTGATTGACACCCATCCATCACCTTGAAGGCCAAGGCTAGCGGATGCAAGGGGACACCACTACCTGAAAATTCCCCTTCAAGTCACACACCATCCGCACTTGAAACTTGATCACTGTTCCACGACTGTCACTGGATCAAAATCCAGGAGCCTTCCTTCCTAACAGCACTGCTGGTATTCCAACAGCCGAAGGACTGCAGCAGTTCAAGAAGGCAGCTCACCACCATCTTTACCAGAGTAATTAGGGGTGGACAACAAATTCTGGCCTAGTCATCAACAGTATAACTCATGAATGAATTTTATAAAAGCACTTATTTGGCAAAGATGTAAGGCTGACTAACTGCTCAAAATATGAAGGTATAAATATCTATCCTTCTAAAATACACACCACACACACACACACACACACACACACACACACACACACGGTAAAGGAAAGGTAAATGAGAATGGAAAGTGCTGGAGAAACTCAGCAGATCTAGTAGCATTTGTGGGCAGACTAACAGAATTACAGCTGAGTCTGCTATAAGTCAGTTCTGTATTTCTATCTCAATGGGCCAGCAATCAAGAACCTCAGGCTGATGTTCTTGAAACACAGGCTCAAATCCTACCATGGGCACATGATGAAATTTAAATTCAATGAAAAATGTGGAATTAAAAGCCAGAGTAATGGTGATCATGAAATGGCTGTTTTAAAAACATATTTCCCTAGAAATGCCTTGTCAAAATATATGTTCCAATGTCTGACATGACCTTTAAGTGACCTTTCAAAAGATAAAAAATCCAGGTATCCAAAGAATTGAACTGAACACATTTTTCCACAAACTTCAAAACTCAAATGCTTGAAAAAAATGATGAGATGCTTTCATAACAACATTAGGTATATCGAGAAACTGACAGAAATATTCAATTTTTGCTTACAAAGCAGCAGTTAAATTTTAAAACCTTACCTCTGATGGAAGCTCTGATATGAAGTTATGATCTGCCGCAAATGTTCTTTGATTTTCTAATTGCCCAACTGTAGGAGGCAGAGCTTCAATTTCATTAAAACTGCAATCAAATTCTTCCAAACATGCAAGCCTACAGAAACACAGGTACACAATTACACATAGCTAAGAACATAATGGTTTAAACACTTCTGTTCTCAAAACAAAATTCACATGGGCTACACCATGTTAAAGATGTATTATCAACAAAGGATGCCTTTGACGAGGACTCCGACAACGAACTAAGAAGTTTGCAAAACTATTTCTTACCAAGGCGAACATGTCATTTTACAACAATCTACTTGTATTACAGGCTTTTTTTTAAAAAACTGATCTCAAAAACCTACCCTCCTACTGAATCTGGCAAGCTTAGCAGTTGGTTTTCATCCACTTTGAGAGCAGTTAGCTTCTTAAGAGATCCTGCAACAATTACAATGAATACTTTATCAAGAAATCAAGAGGCAGACATTAGATCCCACAAGAATTTCAGCTCAAACTATAAAATATTGCCATTTGTTTAAACAGTATTGAAAACATCCAGAAGAAAAAAATACCCTGTTGAATGCAAGACTAGTGACATGATATTCAGTTTTATGGTATGCAGATGGCTAAATACGAACATACAAATTAAGAGCACAAGTAGGTCATTCAGTCCTTGAAGTCTACTTTGCCATTCATAAAGATTATGGCTGGCCAGTTGATGTTCCAAATTTCACATTCTTATCTACCCCTATTATAGTTTGATTCCCTTGCCTAACAAGAATCTATCTACCTCTGCTTTAAAATGTTCAATGACCATGCCTCCACTGCCTTCTGATGCAGGCTTCAAAGTTGCACAACCTTCAAGTGAAAAACTTTCCCCTCATCTCTGTCCTCAAAGGCCAGCCCCCAGTTTTACAACAGCGTTCTCCAGTTCTGGGCTCATCATAAGAGGGAACATCCTATCCACATCCACCTGGTCAAGATCTTTCAATCGTCTGAAAAGTTTCAACAAATCACTCTTTGCTCTTCTGAGCTCTAGTGAAAACAAGCCCAGTCTGTCCTATCTGCCCTCATAAGACAGTCCACTCATCCCAGGTATTAATCTAGTAAACTTCCTCTGAACTGACTCCAACACAATTACATCCTTCTCTAAATATAGAAACAAAAACTGTACACCGTATTCAAGATGTCGTCTCACTAGTGTACTGTATAACATTCTTAATTTAATGTTCAATTCCTCTCACAGTAAAGGAGAGCATCCCATCAGCCTTCCTAATTACATGCTGCACTCATATACTATCTTTTTGTGATTTGTGCACTAAAACAGCTAGATCCCTATGCATCTCAGAATTCTGCAGTCATTCTCCATTTAAATAATATTCTGCTTTTTTTATTCTTCCTGCCAAGATGAACAAATTTGCATTTTCCCACATTATTCTCCATCAGCCTGAATTTTTCCAACCAACTTAACCTATCTAAATCAGTCGAAATCCTTGCTATGCTGATTTTGCAGCAATTGTAACAATGAGACTACCCTGGCTTACTATTATTAAGGAGGATTTAATTGAGATTATCTATTTTACTGAATTTTCCTTATGCCAAAGGGGGCATTAATGGGATGTTAGTATATTGGAGAAGTACACACACACATTAAATGTATTAAATCACATTAAATCCTAGCAGCAGGGAGAGAATCCCAGCTTTTTGCTTATAACAGAGAGAGGAATAACAGCTTCCACATCCAGCTTCAAGACCCCAGCAATTGCAGAAGGCTAAAACTAAAAATCCTGGTTCTATGAAAGCTTGAACCCACCCATTCAGGCCACTTCTACTGTCCCAACTTTTAAAAAAAAAACCCAAAGCTTCACAAGCTGTTTGCGTTATTGGCTTTGAGCAGACTACTCAGAACCTCTGTCTTAATCCTTCTTCATTAAAAAAAAAACTGGACAAAATATGCCTCTTAAAGCCATTGTATTGTCATACATATCACAATGCTGCCTTATTATTTAATCAAGGGTTAATACTACTTCCTTAGTCTGTAGTTTCTGTGCTAGTTACACAGAATAAGGTTTTACCACACAAAGTTTGGCAAAGCTTTCAGCAATTGGGCAGCAATCGGGCAGCAATCACTTTTTAGTGATCAAGTACTTAATGGATGAGGCTTAAATTCACCCAAAAATCCCATCAATTTAGAATTACACTTAAAGGCTTGAGTAGGACGTAAAACAGTTAGAATAGACTGCAGTATTCAAAGCTGAAGTGTTCAGTAAATCAAAAAAAAAGTGAACATCCATTTATCCTCTCCAACTGCCAAGATTGCAGCTTTTATTATTTCAAGATGTGACCAGAGCAAAGAAACACACTGGTTACTATGGAGCTGTATTGGGATTTCCGGGCTTTATGGCTTAAGAGAGAAGGCAGTCGACAGTAAGGGTAAACATAGGTTAAGAGATAATGACATTAACCTAGCTTAATTTTATTGACTATAATTTTTTTCTCATTTTCTGCCATAAAGACTTTTTGCTTCATAATACTATATTTGGCATTATGTATATTTCTTGGGTAGGGTTGCAGGCTAAAGCAGATAACGTCATTCACTTGTTGATAAAAAAGGTAAACCAACATGGAACTTCAGTATGCTTTCGTCATGAACTGGATGTTGCTTTGGGTGTCCTCAAAATTTATTCCCTCATCTCAAGACATTGATTTTGGTTTTTAACATACTGGATTAAGTGAAATATATCCAAATGACAACAAATTTAGGTTAAAATCTTGGAAACGATTTTAGTCATAACTACTAGGAAAAACATATTATAAACAAGCTCTAGCCAGAATAAGAAAGTTGCAACAAAATGCAAAGCACTAAGCTTTACAAACTAAAATACCCTGCAAAAACTTTTAGAAATAACACGGGAGTGACAGCAAGTTTTCACATTTCACCATAACATATCAGCAAATACCATTGGTTGATCCAAAAAGTGTTTTACAATGATGGCCGTATTCTAATTTATTCATTGATTTTTGCGAAAGAATAAGCTATTGTCTTGAGCAGAGAGAATGTGACATGTCAAATTCTGTGGCATTAACATTCTAAAAGAAATTTGTTAGATGCTAAGCAATTGACATTAAATTTAGGAAATTGTCAATTAACTTATAAAATTAATAGTTTTACACTGCCCTGCAGCTCTGGCATTATCAGTTTTCTAAATTAATATGTGTCAATTATGCATTAAAAGAGTACAGAAATGTTGAAAATCTTGGACTAAATTTATATTTGCATTTCAAATGGTTCTCATTTTTCAAATTGTTATTTCAAATATTCCCTAGTTGATTTAAATACTATTAAAACAATGTCAGACATGGAAATATTCCAGTTATGTTTATACACAAGTATAATACAGTATTACTAAAACGATACTTAAACAGAGAATACTTTCCTGTTCAAACATTCATGGATACATTACACACTTAAAAGTAACAAACCGATTGTTTCAGGGAGCTGTTGGAGCACATTGCTAGACAGCAGCAGGTCCTGGAGGTTCTCACAACCTGATATGGCATCATCAATCATTTCCACATTGTTTTTGGAAACATCCAAGTAAGTCAACTGCTTTAATTTGCCAATAAACTAAAAAGAAAATAAAAATACAGCAGAAATGTGATATTCAGTTACATTTATATTACAAAGATAATACCAATTAAGAGCCCTTTTTTTTTGCTAAGGTACAGTAGCTGACACAAACACACTAGAAAAACCTCAGCTTCTAACATCTGGTGAGCAGGCAAAGCACAGTGAGGACAATGCTGTAGGATAAAAACTGGCCCTGATGTTCTGTAGGGAAGGGAGTTTAAGAGGAGGAAATCAATCTGGAACTACATATTTCCAAGTATCAGATATGATCATAATCAGCTGTATGTGCCTCCAAATTGAACAATTTGGAAAGGTTAGTCACTCAGGCTCACACATGAATGGTGCGTTTGTGCGGATGTAGTAAAGGGCAACCAGTGCCCATGAAATGTCGTCATTGGAAGGACCCAATATCTTTAAGGAGTGCAGAAAACTGGTAAGACAAAAAACACTGTAGAACAGCAAGTAAAAATTCTAAATTTGCCAAAAACTATTGGATCTCTGATGCTCAAGATGTTCAACCGCAGAACACCACTGTATGAATCAGGAGTACTACTCAAAATTATAGCTCAAATTCAATTACTAGAGTGTACAGTAGGCTTCATTTCAACTGTAACACATGATTCCTCCATGGTCAGGGAAAGTACTTTTTACGTACACATCTAATTCAAATTCAGTTGATACTGCATCAATAAATTGATACATTTGGTAGAATAGTGATTCGGGTGTAATACCACAGAAATTGTTCAGGAAACATACCTCAGATTCTCATCTCTATTCACTTTGAGTTAATACGTGAACCCAAATGGTATGGGCCCAAAAAAAATCTCCTGTCATCTAATACAAATTTCCCAATATTAATTCAATTATATGTAAAGAAAATATATAGTAAAAATGTGCTTCTTCGTGTCACTTTTATGTAAAAGAACTTGCCTTCCAAAAAAAATCCAAAATACATGACCTACATACATAGAAAATGAGTGACATCTCTTAACTAAAATAGAATCCTAATAGAACCTAAAAGAACAATCACAAGTAAAGAATGCTCAACAACCTCTAAGGAAAGAGAAAGATGCATACACTCTTATTTGTAATTATTACAAATGCTTCCATTTCCAATACCATATCATAGGAGTTATTTTGGCTACATTAATATTCTGAAACCTGCCACAATACCCATGGCACTCTTATGAAAAGAGTGCATCGAGAAGAGATGGCTAACAAATGGATAACACTTCAAATACCTTCTCAGAATCTGGATTTTCTGTAAATAGAATTTATCCTCAGACTTACTAACAGTGGAATTTAAACCTCCTGAAATCTTACTGGTCTCATGCAATTGTAGGAGACCATGTTGGAACACAAGAAGATCATTATTTTGACCACCTCAAAAAAAGCAAACACCTTTTAGAATCAAATTATCCTGGTTAAATTGGTGTACTGAGATATTGTAACTTGTAAATAATTGGTTATACAGATGTATTTTGAAGGATACAACCATTTTAGACCTTTACAGGCTCACATGCTTTTCCCAACAGTCAGAGATCTACAGCACAGAAAAAGGCCCTTTCGCTCAATGCATCTGTATCAGTCAAAAAATGCCGAATTATTTGAATTCCATTTTCTAGCACTTCGCCCCCATAGCCTTGTATGGCTTGGTATCACAAGTGCATATCTGAATACTTCTTAAATGTCGTGAGGATTTCTACCTCTAACACTTTACAAGCAGTGAGTTCCAGACTCCCACCATCCTCTGGGTGAAAAGCTTCTTCCTCACATTGTCTCTAAACCTCCTGCCACTTACCTTAAATCTATGCCCCTTGGTCATTGATTTCTCCATCGAGAGGAAAAGTTTCTTCCCATCTCCCCTATCTATGCCCCTCATAATTTTATATATCTCAGTTATGACCCTCTCAATCTCCTCTGCTCCAAGGAAAGCAGCCCAAATCTATCCAGTCTCTCTTCATAACTGAAACTCTTCAGCGTAGGCAACATCCTGTTATCTCCTCTGCACCCTCTTGAGTGCTATCACATCCCTTGCCCTTTGTCCAATTTCCAATTTCCTAACCACTTTAGACAATTCCTTCTTCACCTCTCTGTCACTGCCTTGATTTAAGTTGAAGAACTAGTTTTAGACCCGAGTTGTTCTCCCTCAAACTCAATTTGAAACAATATCACATTGTGATTACTATCCTAGAGGATCGTTATCAACAAGATCTCTTATTAATCTTGCATCATTACACATTACGCGATCTAAAATAGCCTGTTCCTGGGTAGTTTCTACAACATACTGCTCTAAGAAACAATTCTTGATGTACTGTACAAAGTAAGTTTCATATTACCCTAACCCATCTCATTTGTCCAATCAGTATGCAGATTAAATCAATGAAAATTGTAGTGCCTTTCTTACACACCTCCACTACTTCCCAATTTATAACTTGTCCTACAGTGAGGCAACCCCTCGGGGCCTATAGATGACTCCCACCTACGACTTCTTTCCCTTGTTATCCCTTATTCCCACATCACAATCTATTGCACCTATATCACTAATTACCACTGCACGGATACCTTCCTTTATTAACAAAGCTGCCTCCACCATCACTTTCCATCCTCAGTTTCAGAAACGGCTGCCACTGCTCTTCCTCTCTCTCGCTTTTCAGGAGCTGCTAACCCTCTTCTCTCTCTCTGTCTGTCTCTCGCCTCACCCCCACCCCCCCCCACCCCCCAAGTGGTGTTTTAGAAGCTAACTTGTACTGTTTCAGAACCTGCCGTGTCCATGATCCACTACTCTTGACAAAACTCAATTTTTGTTTTGAAAACACACCATTCCCCAGGCCACAATTTCACATTACTAACTGTCAACCTGAATTAGCAGCGTATTTAAGGGAAAATTCTTTAGTGTCAATCTAGTACTTGTGGTCAAGAACCAAAGAGCTAATGAGTTTCCAATTTCATTTCACCCAATTAATTTTATGCAATATTCATTTTCTAACTATGTGGTTAAATTAGTTCAGCATCAATTAGCACCACAGCATGACACATACCCCCGGGAGAATTGCAAGTCTATTGCCATCCATCCAAAACTCCTTTAGTCCAGTCAGTTGTTCTAATACTTCAGGCTAATAGGGAAAAAAAAAAATCAAGAGACATTTAAAGAAAAACACATATAAACTCAAAACACTGATGTGTTGCTAAGAGGGACTATGTATTTGTCGAAACCATTTTATCAGAGGTTACAATCAAATCGGCCAATTTAGAAAGAATATCTCTGGTCGAAAATCAAAAACAACAAGTCAAACTGAGATTTCTTTTGCAATTAAAATAAACCCGGTTACATTGTATAAACAAAAATTAATATAACTTAGTTCTAAGTTTCAAACCAAAAGTGTCATCTTGGAAGAAAACAAATCTGCACATATGTCAGGATGCAGCAGGTAATCAGGAAGGCTAATGGAATGCTGGCCTTCATTTCAAGGGGGTTGGAGTATAAGAGTAGCAAAGTCTTATAACAGCTATACAAGATGCTGATTAGATTAGATCACATCTGGAGTACTGAGAGCAGTTTTTGGTCTGCTACTTAAGGAAAGATTATTTCATTGAAGGCAGTTCAGAGAAGGTTCAGTAGGATGCTCCCTGGTATAGAAGAGCAAAAGTTAAACAGGTTGGGACTCTACTCACTGGACTTTAGAAGAATGAGCAGTGATCTCATTGAAGCATATAGCATTCTAAAGGGGCTTGACAGGGTAAATGCTGAGAGAATGCTTCCTGTCATGGAACAGTCAGGATGAGAGGGCATAATCTCAAAATAATGGGGCCCTAATTTAAGATGGAAATGAGGAGGAAGTTCTTCTCTCAAAGGGTTGCAAGTCTTTAGAACTCCTTGCCATGGAGAGCTTTGGGGGCCAAGTGCTGTGTATATTTAAGGCTGAGATAGAATCTTGATGTGTAGGGGAAATCACGGGTTATGGAGAAAGGGCAGGAAAATTAATGAGAGGAATGTCGGATCAGCCATGTTCCTATTGAATGACAGAACAGGTTCGAGGTTGGGGGGATGGTGCGGAGCAAATGGTCTTATGATCTTATGGCCTAATACTTCTT